AGTTTTAGTAGACAGTTGTCTGAGAAAATTACAACTGTCTAGAAATCACGGATCAAGAGATATAGCCCGAGTGTTTTTAGCCTTTGTGCACAAAATCGTACTGTGCATTTCTAGTCCTTACCCGTCCAGTTGGGAGGACGGACTTAGGATAACCCTAGACATGTATGCGTCGGTCGAAGCTCCGAAGAGCAGGCATTGCGAGTCACACCAGTCCTCTTAATTATACTATAATTATAAGTTTAATGATTCATTAAAAGTTCTTCAGGAATAATCCAATTCATTTGTATACCTACCTACATTAAATGAAGTTATTCATATTCATACAATTGTTTTTATTGTTGTTTAAAACAATACTGATGCATAGGTCCGTGGTCGTGAGCGCGGTCGTCGTGACCCGACGCATCTCACCATCACATCCACAGATCCATGTCTGCGCTTTACATTGTACAACTTTTACTCTATTTGTTTATTGAAATTTGTTGTTGTTTTACTCGAATGCGATTGTTGATGCGGATACATACACATTTACATACAAATCTATACCGACAATTGTTTTAGAACATGATACAGATGTAGAAAAAAAGACATAATATGGAATTGGATCTAAAAAATAAAAGGATCATGAGCTGGCTATACGTTTACACTTTATTATTTCGATATATGTAATAAAACAATACTTTAACATAAAACAAAAGATATTGGCTTTGCACGTTATCGGTGATAGGAGATTATACAATATCTACTGATAATATTTCTTTCTAGCATTTGGGGCTCCCACTGGTACTCTCGCGATTTATATAGTAGCATATTTTCTATTATTCACTTTAGATAAAAAAGGGGCGTGAAAATCTTGTTTCACTCTGTTGATTTTTATACGAATTACGCGCGTCCTGACGTACTCTACGATATTATACTACATCCAAAGCGTCTAAATACGTATTTATTTGCAAGCTGATATTTTTTCACTCATTTCATCATACACGACTTTCACAATTAGTCTTATCCTCACACGGTTTTGATGTGAAATCTTGTATTGCCTTCGACTCTGTTGAACTCTAATGCTTTTAAATTGGAGTTGAAGTAGAGATGGATAAGTAAGCAATACTTTTTACGGAGTAATTTTTTTGTCATGCACTTGCAGTATGAACCCCCAACATTCAGAGTATCGCTTATAAAATATTTATTTTTCGATAGTAAGCTATTTATTTAGAGCTTGTTCAAAGAGATAATGCAAATACTGAGGTGTCGTTCGCCCACACCGCGCACTACCTGTATCGAAACGTTCCAAGAACTGTCTATCGCTGACAGGTATAAGCAAAAAAACACACTGCACCCTAAACCCGAAGGAATAAAGTCCACGATAAAAATAAAAAACCATACGTTCGCATATAAAAAATAACACGGACGCAGCGTTTTCTATTGTCAAGTATGGAGTTAAGACTTTTTTTAAATAGATCGGAAGCAATTCTGTGAAGCCGAATCTATTTTATTACTTGCCCACAAGAAGAATTCTTCTGTAAATTGGTGTCACAGCCGCTCAAAGAAGCCGACACAAAATTTTTCGCAAAAGAATCGCGTTTTTAGCTGCATTTGAATGATCATCATGAATCTTTATTTTGATCGTGGAATTCTTATTATAAAAAATATAAGTTTTGTCAGTTTTATAAAAAGAACGCGACAACATTGCGATGTAACATCTTTTTAGATAAAGTTAAATAACATCAAATAAAGCCCTGTCAAGTTTTTATTTGCCTACGCAGTTCGATTTGATATTTCAATTAACCTCTTTGGTTGTTTTTTAAACACAAAACTGATTCTAACGTAACAATAATTTATAGTTACTTTACGGATGCGAATTAGAAAAAAAAGATATACTATTTTATCCAATCGTAGGTAAACAGTAAAAAATGTTTTGAGAAACCCGCTCGCTCGTGAAATCTCGGCACGGCGGCACTCACTCTCACCGACTTCATACAATATTCTATTTTAAATACAGTGGTCAAGATAACATATACGATCTCTCTTGCGTACGGCAAAAAACCTTCCGGGATCGAAGCCCGTTTCCCACGACGCAGGGAGAAAACTCGGAACGCCACTGACAGAACAATAAAAACGGCATATTGTAAACGGTATTAGCAAAAACGGTTCACTGCCATAAACATTATAATGAAACGAGACTAACGAGTCACTGTAGAGTAACACGCTTTATAACTCATACAGATATAAATAAAAATTGTATTCGACCAAAATACTCAAATCGGAGAGAAGCCATAATTTTATACGCAACATATCGATAAAAAACGTCGATAAAATAACTAATATTTTTCTTAATACCATAATTCATAATTATGTAAATGTCATTTATGATAAAAAGCTGGTAAGTTTCTTTCGCTTGTTCTTCTTGTCAGCTAAAAGACGTCCTGAACAAGTGGTAGGGGAAAAAATATTTTTGGACGATACAAAAGTGCTTGTAACAAGCTTACTTGAATAAAAACATTTTCATTTCATTTCATTTCAAAATTATGGTGATTTTGTTCACTCTTTAAACGATATCATAAACGTTCTCGAATAACCAGGGGGCATAGCCACAAACCTCTGAAAGTTTTTTCGTCGCTAAAATACGTTTTTTTTTCTCTAGTAAAAGATTTCAACGAACTTAAAAGCAGCTTGACTATAGTTAATAAAAGTTTAGTTTATTAAAAAAAGCTCTTAGCTTATTTATTCGCCAAACAAGACTCCTATACATTTAGTGACTTTCTTTAACTAAATGTATCCCCATAATTTATTGATTAGGCAAAAAAAAAATGTATTTGATACTCTTCAATAATCTACCCGACGGCCAAACAAACAAAAGTTTGTCGTCATCCATATTATGGTAGTCAACTTCAAAGACATGCAAATAAATGCCAATTAATATCCATGTCTATAACTATTACGACCTATCACCATAAGTCGATAACATTAATTTATTTAGGTGTACTTTAGTGAATTACTGAACTCTGTGAAATATAATATTAAACTAGACAAATAATAATAATTTAAAAAGATCAAAAACAAAAGGACAGTTTCAAGGTACGAATAAAATTCTCAGACACAAGCGACAACCAGAGCGCAAGAAACGAGAAAAAAGATAGAAAAATTACATGCGTAAGGACAGGATGGGTGACCAAAACATTATTATCTTGAGCACCATTGATCTTATTCGATTCGACTCCATTCTTCCCAAAATACTTCCCACGCAGACGAAGTTGCGGGCACAGCTAGTATTAAATAAATTAACTTCGTTATCAGCACAAAAAAAATAGATTATTCGTCATAATTATATACTATATTTCCTATGTTTTCACGCGGACTACTCGTTAAATAAATCTTTTAAACGATTTTATCGCGTGTATTTTTGCAAAATTAATTCATTTTTCGTTTCTAATCCTTTACAGCTCATGGTATGAAAAACCAAAGCTCTGGAAAATAATTTCATATATCAAAAATACACACGATTTGAACGGTAATCAAAATAGTTTTATTTAATCAATTATTCATCATCATCAGCACAGAACACAGATTCATCAGCCTATTAATATAGCCATTGCTGAGCCTTCCCTTATAGATAGAACTCATGAACTTACTCAAGGCGAATGGGCTATATTCGACCACCACAAAATCTTTATTTTCAGACAATTAAATACATAGATTGTAATAAATACATTACTTATTCATAACATTATATTAACGACAGCAGAACGATTACCGGGACCAACGGCTTAAAATGCATTCCCCAAACACACAGGAGCTTCACATAACAAAATTTCAGTCATCCATTTGGAGACCTGCCCCCTCTAAGTTAGATCAGTAATTACCATAGGTAAAATAAGAACAAATAAACATTTTACAAACATCACAAGCCGTTTAAGACGTGACATAATAGCGACGAAGAAACCCGCATTATATTCGACTAATCAACCTTGAATTACGTGTCTACAACTTTAACGTTTTTGTAATGGATGTCATTTTTTCCGTGAAAGCCTACTGTAGCGTTGACCAAAAAAAGTATGGTTAATCGTAGCGCAATATTCAAAATTACAAATATAGACATTAAATAACAAGCTAAGACAAATATTATCATGGAAAATTAAAAAAGAAAAGTAAAGTCAGATAAAACTTATTTATAAATCCACTTCTTCAGTCAGAAAAAAGGAAATATGTTCTAATACTCTTTATATTTACTTGGTCTTTTCAACAGACGGAGTATCACGGATCATGAACGTCATATATGACTATCAATTATATTGATTCATTAAAGATTTTGTATTGCAAATACGTAGTTAAATGTCTAGGAATGTGGAAAAAAGATCTGAGACACTGGTGTCTGCACAAATTCTACAGATAATGTTATTTGATACCTGTCTCAGATCTTCGATTTAATGTGAAACAGTGTGATGAATTACAACAAAATGATTTTGCATATCCAAATGACTTCACCTTTTCGTTCAGCCTATACATATCAGTTCTTCGCGATAAACAAAATATTAACTATTTTAATAATTGTCTCTCTCTCTGACCAACATGTCACTACTATATTTCAATTGTTGGTAAATAATAATGCCCGAATAAATCACAATTCAACAGATTAAAATATTATTTATGTAGGTAAGTAGGTCTGATCACTGTTTTTTTTTTAATCCTTATAGGGGATTTGTAGTGCTCAGATATAAATTGTATAAGCATAAAATAATTACAAATTACGCCTATGTAATGTGAAATTTATCATTTATCAACAAAACGTCGACGTCGTCAATCACTAAAAGTCGTCTAATTTAATCAAGATAAGTAGAAAATAAACTTTATAGCGTTGTGTAATTTGGAGGCGATTCTATTATTTCAATGAATTGGGCAAACAACAATTACAATAATAACAAAATCAGAGTTCCATTGAAATCTTATTGGGACTTCAATAAAGATTAAGGTCCAGCATAAATACTGAAGCAATTTTTAAAACTGACCTCCCGGTCGTAGCAGGGTGTTGGGGTGCACGCTGCCATCCCGATGCAGCAGCACATGCCTCGGTTCTGTGGCCAAGTACAGGGGAGCGCCTTCCGCCAGGCATTTGTGGAAACATCGCGCGGCCTGGTGGAACAGCGCCCACGCGTGCTCCTCGCTTATAGTAGAATTGAAAGCCTGGAGGATCTGCTGCAGGCTCATACACTCCGCGCCGTCCAGAGCGAACTCGGCGCCGCCGCCGCCGCCGTCCTTACGCATCATAGCTACCCTGGCCCCGGCACTACAACCATCGTTCCCTACACAACACTGCGACACGATCGATCGTTACTCCTCGATTTATCATCCACACAACACTGAAAATTTTGTATCCTGCGATTATACGGATCTTTCTTTTACAATTCACACAAACATTTTATTTTGGTGCACGTTAACGTCACCCGGCTCCCAGAAACGTCACTGTCACTGTTGTCAAAGTGGGTGGTGCGATATTATTCTGTAGGTTGGCAAATGTTTTGTTATATCGTCGTAGCAGAGTTCGATCGCGCGTGCGCGGCGTTAACCCGGCGTCATACACACGTGCAACAGAGCCAGCGGTCGGGGCCGCACTGGCGCGCCGGCCGCGACCCAGTGGAGATGCGCCCTGCCCCGGAACCACTTCCTATCTTTCTTAACACTTCCACCCTTTCTCCACTCACCAAAATGACCAGAAGCGGTCAGTCACATTGACTTCAATGCTACTATGTAGATGACACATTTATTGTGTGCCAATTCAATATGTATACGAAATAACTGTCACAAAGCTACGTAACCCGGGAACACTGTTCATAACGAACTATCCTATCATCTGAACTACCGATCGTCGAGTCCGATGATTAGATAAATATATTCAATGATTATAACGCAGTGATTCTTTTATCTATCCAACGTCATTTGCGATAAATGAAACACCGGTGTCAGTCAAAATCTTTATTGAGTTGGCTGTTGTAAAATATCAATTACCTACATCGTGTTCAAAATATTAATTAACTAGGTACTTACATGATTACTTACTATTAAAACACTTTTCAACTCCTATATTCATAAATAATTAATTAGAAAACCCAAAAATAATCTTACAATTAGTTCTAATATAAATATTTCTTGTTCTACATTACCACGATTCACAATTCAATGTCTTGCTTTTTATTGATATATTATTTAATTAATATGACATTATTATGAATATAGGAGTTTGAAATTTTAAATAATTTTATTTTCTGTTTTTAATATACACACCTAAATGTAACATATATAATTTTTAACTAAATTAATTCATTAAAATACACATTAAAGCAATAAAATAATAAGAACTTTGAACAATTAGGAATGTAACTAATCTAGTTCATTATTGACCTATCAAATAAGATTTATATTAATATGTATAGGCATATATGCAATACTTTTGATCAGTCGTTATGAAACCCCTAAGACGATTTACAAAACACAATACAAAATTACTAAACGCCAGACAACAGTTTATTGTATCAAATGCAAAATTATGATAAAATTTATAGAATTTTAACACCATACAATTTATAACATACCGTTTCAATTTGCATCAAAAAAGTTAAATATATATATATATATATATATATATATATATATATATATATATATATATATATATATATATATATATTTAATCATCAACATCTAAAGAATTTTATTAAACATAACATCTAAAGAATTGTATATGAGATCTGATTAGAGGCCATCCATGAATTACGTCACACGTAAGAAAGGGGGGAGGTCGACGAACTGTGACATTAGAACAATATTTAGTAAATTTGTATAGACAAATGGGCGAGAGGGCGGGAGGGGGTTTAAAAATCATGAATTTTGTGTGACGTAATCTATGGACGACCCCTTATAATATCCAAAATAAACAGGTACGGAAAAGTGTTTGTAATTGCTTATATTTTAAAAATCAAATGGTACAATAAATATTATATTTAATTGATGCATTCAAATAAGGTTGAAAATAAAATGTTTAAAACTACAAATGAATATTTGGTCTCAAATAAAAAAATTATGATATTTTTTAAGTGGTAAGAGAATTTGGAAAACCCCTAATTGAAAAAAAATGTTAAAATATACAAGTATCCGATATATAAAACTGTCATTGCGAATAAATGCACACATAATAAGTCCCGCTAAGAATCAATCCGCGATGATCTCACTTCTTCTTAAGACTCCACAGAGGATCTAGAAAGTTGAGGGGATCTTTCATATCCCCACTCTTGAGACCAGGCGACTGCTTCATCTCCTCGAAGGACTCGCGCGAGAACTTGCCCTTGTGGTGGGCGGGGGCCGGCGCGGAGGCGGGAGCGGGGGCGGGGATGGGGGTGACGGGGGGCAGCACGCCCGCCCCTGACGGTACCGAGACAGCCTCACCGTTAAACATCGTAGTACCTGGAAACGCTACAGTTTCTTACACGGTCTCCCATAACCTTAAAACTAACAAGTTTACACCTCCTTTTTCACAAAAAAAAAAATTAGCTGTCTATAAAAAATATATGTGTTCAAGTCGTCGCCATCTCCGAGGTCCTGGTTCAATATAGAAAATGAACTTTTCTATATTGTCTCGGGTCTGGGAGTTAAAGGAATTTAATGTTTATTTATTTATAAAAAATTAAACAATTTTGTTCATAAACGTTTGAAAACTCGACCAGACAACGACAAAAACATATAAAGTTATGACGTCATAACCTAACATAAAGGCCCTATTACATATTGATTATGGAGTTTTAAAAAATAGTCAATGTTGGCATTCTTGATCTTGAAATCAAAAATATATCATCAGACTAACCTATTCAGGCATAATCCAACTAAATAAAAGCATAACCATCAACACAGAAAACCATGTCAATTAATTGCTGCGTTTCGAATTCAATGAAGGACAAATATAGAGACATTTTTTACATTTGTAATTAATTATTAAGGGAACAATACTGATCTAAACCAGTTGTACTAAATTGTGTACTGTTAACATAATTAATGAAAAACCAAAGCTATAAATCAAATTAGATAATACTAATTTAATAAGTAGTTTCTTAATAGTACTAAATTATTTATTTAGTAGTAGGCGGTATTGATCTTGAACTTTGTCACACTTTCCATATTAATTATTTAAATACTTTCCTATTTTAATGAAGTATCACTACTTATTCGAAAAAAATTTTGTTTTTTGATAACAATAAAAACAAGGTGTGCATTTGTAGCTGTCTATTAATGTGTAACTCTTACCCGAACATAGGACTCCTTGCACGTAAAATAATGCGGTTTTGTATGCATCCACCAAATACTTCTTGTCTTCTAACACGTTAGATCTATTCTTGTATAGGTTTATGCATCCTGATTCTATCATTTCTGCAAAGAATGAACGTTTAGGGGTGTAGACAGCTTTTTTAATATTTTTATGTTATTGTCATAAAATATATCTAAAAAAATAATTAAAGAAATTTCCCGCGAAAACGCCACTTCTGTCATGGCGTCGTTAGAAGTCACGGCCCTCTGAAACTAAGATTGAATTTTCTCAATTTCGATATGAGCAAGAAGTGCGTGACGTCACGCGCCGTTTGCGGTCACGTGACAACGAGTATAAAATTTAGCATAAAAGTGTGATAATCGATAAAAGTATATTAAACACTACTAGAATAAAAAAATATATATTTATTTTTGTTTACGCCCGTATTGTGGATTACCATTTGAATGTTACATATACAATTGTGATTTACAAAAATGTTCTTCTGACAATATATCTTCAGTTCGTTTACCACTTTTAAAATAAACTTGAACATACTAATAAATATTAAATTAAAAACTAAAATAATCAATTTAATATTTAAATATGAAGTTTTAATAGAATAAACCACATATATTTCTGTGGAATAAACCTTCGAAAATGTCTTTTATTACGTATTTTCCCTTTATGCGTGAAAGTAATATGAGAGGAGGTCTATAGCATAATGGGGAGCGCTCGATTTGCGATCGCGAAGGTTAAGCAACGGGCCTACCAGTCGCTACATATCACGTGGCTGAATGTATGGAGGATGGGTGATCGAACTTAATTTTAAACTCCTGCGTGTTGAGGTACGTCGTCTCATCAGTTGCGGCCGCATCTGGAACCGTAACTCCCAACTGGTATACCTGCGTCGTAGTTATGACGTTCTTCCTGTGTTTCCTGTTATGGAGTTAATATGAGCCGCAGCTACAGACACAGTAATAGAGTGGGGTGGTGGTAGTTGCATACTGACCGCACAGCTGCAGGTGCCCCGCGCGCACCTGGCACATCACCATGAGCAGCAGCGCCAGCACGCAGCCCCGCCCCTCGCCCCCGCCCCCACCCTGCAGCCACGCCCCGCCCTCTACCAGACCCCGCCCCCGCCCGCCCGGGCACGTCTGCTGCAGCACTCTGTCCGCCAGCAGGACTAGCGGCGGGCACACGATCCTACCGAAACAGTAACGGAGCATATATTAGTTGTCATCCCAATTTTGTGCCACGACAGGCGATGGCATACCGACTTGTGCTTTCTGTCTGCCATTCAAATACGCAAACAAATACGCATCGAGAGTAAAAACGCGCTCGCTTGGTTTCAAACATTTATATCGCAGAAAAAAAAACAAACGCCGTTATAAAAAAATGTGATCAAACGAATATATCAAAATTCATTTTTGTAAATCTTTTTATATAGATGGGATGAAATATACAAGTCGTAAAATCGATCTTAAAAAAATCATTTAGAGTCATCTTTGCTATTTATTTCCATCGAGTCATTTATTGAAATTTATGTTTCTGTTTTTAGCAAGCAATGATCATATGTTTAAATTTCAAAGAATGATTTTTATTTGGCAAATTAAAAAGTGGTAATTTCATACAATATCGCTTTAACAAGTTACATATTACGAAACTACTCGTAGATTCACTCACTTTTCGGGGAATACGGTGATCTGGTAATGCGTGACGGCAGCCACTGAGCTCCCATATGCGAGTGTAAGGTCGCGCTCAGTCCAGTGCACCGTGCACTTTACATCCTCCAAAGTCACCTTCACGTCTCCCAACTCCAAGCACTGACCTTTAGCCGTCGGCCAGTATGAGTTGCCTTGCATCTGGACATGGATTAAACATCTCTATCTTCTCTAGTGAAAAGAATAGGGTAGCGAGCCCCCACTCCTCAACTTTAATGCCAGTTACGTAGGCGGGATGATAAATAGCTAGCCCAACCCATATTTTGTATAATAACGATATAAAATCTCCTTAGTATTTTACTCATTGGTTCATTAGCTGCCAGTGTTCCAAATTTCAAATCGATCGTATAGTTTTTCTTTTAAATATTGACATTTCAAAAAGCATACTTTTGTTTTTTCTGCAAAATGGATAAAATTGAGCTACGAGCTGTGATAAAGTTTTTGCATTTAAAAGGATTAAAAGGTGGAGAGATTTTTTCGGAGGCGAAGGATGTTTTGGGAGAAAATGCTCCTTCATATGCGACCATAAAAATTGGGTGAATGAATTTAAACGTGGCTGTAACCAGCACTCAAGATGAACATCGTCCAGGACGTCCAAAAAGTGCTACTTCTCCAGAAATTGTGAACAAAATTCATGATGCAGTTTTAGCTGACCGAAAATTGAAACTTTCCAAGATAGCTGATACTGTAGGCATCTCTAAAGAACGGGCGCATTACATTTTGACTCAAGAATTATGTATGAAAAAATTATGTATGAAAAGATTTTCTGCGACGGTTTGTTACTACAGACGAGACTTGGGTTCACCACTATATACCTGAATCAAAAATTCAGTCTAAAAAATGGACGGAAAAAGGAACCCCGGCTCCAAAGAAAGCAAAAGCCGTGAAATCAACGGGCAAAGTCATTGCGTCAGTATTTTGGGATTCGAAGTGTATATTGATGACAAAACATAAGGACCTTCCAAAAGGACAAAACATAAATGGCGAATATTATGCTGATCTACTGGATAATCTTTCATCAGAACAATGCGCGCGTTCACACGTGCATCACTGCGATGGCGAAATTCAAAGAATTAAATTATGACTTGCTGCCACACCCAGCTTATTCTCCTGATCTGGCACCATCTGACTTTCATCTATTCCCTAAGCTCAATTTTTTTTAGGGGACAAAGATTTGAAAATAATAGCGAGGTGATGTCTGCCGTGACAGTTATTTTGAAGGGCTTGAAGAAAACCACTTCAGGGATGACATCAAGGCTTTAGAGCATAGATAGATGAAGTGCATAGCGCTTCAAGGAGACTATGTCGAAAAATAAATATATTTTTAACACACTTATTCAAGTTTTTCTATGCTAGGCTAGCTATTTATCATCCCGCCCTCGTATCTAAGCTATTTCTTCTTAAATTAAAGTAAAAAAATACGTATCCAATATTTTTCCATTATCTGACTGACGGACTAAATAGAATTGCATTTTCTTTACCTAGTCGTCATCCCTATTCAGAACGATGGAATATATGTAGAAGCCGGGGAAAGTCAAAACACGGTGTCGGAAACCATAGAAACGAATGAAATAAATGAAAAGGATGAATGTTAAGAAAGCGAAAGACGTCTGTAAAGTGTAGAGACTGCCTTGTGAGTTCTGTTCTATTTGCCTACCCGACAAAGAAAAGATATAAAGCACGAAGCTCTATAACCAATCGGATCGGATAACGTTAGTTTAATATCTTCTGACGTTGTTTTCCAAGGCAAGCGTTAGATAAATATTATTTTAAGTTAACAAGACATCAAAACGATTGCGACTTAAAACCTTTGAAAGTTTTTAAAATTAGACGATTAGGGTACAGTTTCCTGTTGTTTCTACGCAGTACTAAGTTCTATGCTATATATATATTTGGACACATTAATAAAATATCAAAGATAATGATAATTACCTCGTGTGTTCATAAGTTTTGAGACAAACTTTTTACTGCTGAAAGATTTTCCTGTAAGCCGTCACTTCATCTATTACACAATACAGCGGTACAAAGTAGCGATGGACGTTATTCGCGATAGACAGTTATTCAAATAGTGATCTGCCTGAACCGCGATCACTCGTGATTTAGTTATACAATAACTATCTATTTTCCATAACGTTCTAAAATTAAACCAAATTCACTCGTATGTTAACACCATAACGTCAATCTTTGATTTGACGATCACCAAGAAGTAGCGATCACAGATTTACAATAACTGTCTATTATCCATAACGTTCTAACGTTAGACCGAATTCACTCTTATGTAAACGACATTACGTTGATTTTTGGTTGCCTCGCTTCAAGGTAGCATCGATCACCAACAAGCAGCGATCACAGATCGCAACGATACGTAGACATCTTTATAGATTAACGCTTTACATTGACGGTCATTTAATGCAGTTTTAATAACCGTATAGAATGTAACGCGTAATGTAGAGCATTTAAATAATGTAGATCGCAAACAATGCAATCTGTCATATGTGAATGAAATAAAAACAGGATTTCAGTATACGTGTGAATGAAGTAGGCATATGCTAGTACGCTCACGTTATTCGGCTTTCGGAATGATCGAGTAACCAACTCAAAATTGAACTTTATCGCGTTAGCATAAGAGTAAAATTCGGTTTGACTTAAGCGTTGTGGAAATAACTAGTTATTAAAAATAGACAGTTTTGATATCGGTGATTGGCGATCTGATAGCGTTTGCGTTACGTGATTTAAAAAATGGATAACGACCCATCGCTAGTACAAAGAGACGAGTTCTATACAAGATCGTCAAAATAGTGGTCGGCCACGCTCTGTGAGGACGCCTGCGAACATCAAAATCATCCGAGACCGACTTCGCCGGAATCCATTTCACACTCAGAAGAAATTCGCTCTGCAGACTAATATTTCGCGCGTTTCAGTGAACAGAATATTGAAATATGATCTTAAGGTTATGCCTATAGCCGTAGAAAAGTTCACTTTTAAACGATTGTCTTCGTAAGTTACGACGCGAACGTTGTCCATTGCTGCTGAGGTGACATGATGCCAGGCAGATTCTCTACACATACGAGAAAATGTTTACTGTCGAAGAAAAGTTGAAAACAAAACAATGAAGTGTACACTAAAATTAGCAAGGATGTCCCAGCTTCTACACGGAATTTCTCGCGGATTGGGTTTTTCAGCAAAATTCGGCGTCACCCCATAAGGCAAAAAGCACCCAAACTTGGTTGAGGGAGAATATGCCGACATTAATCGCGGCGGACGAGTGGCTCTCCTCCAGCCCCAACCTCAACCCACTGAGTTATTCCCTCCCTAAACTAAACTTAGAGTCACTGAAGCGAACCCTTGTTCGAAAAGCAAAGCGAATTTTGCTAGAAAAGATTCGTGCCGCCATTTATGACTGGCCAAATCGTCTAAGGGCCTGTATTAAAAACAAGGGTGGTCATTTTTAATAAAATATACATTTTATTGTTGATTTTTATCTATTTAATGGTTACTGAAAATTTTAGAAATATAAGTCAATTATTAAAAAAGTTACACAACTTTTATTTCGTCTCAAACCTTATGAACACACGAGTTATATTCGTCTGCATCACGCTGATTCGCTTGCGTAGAGGAGGCAGAGAGAACAGACCGTCACTTGACAAAATTCTTTCGCTTTCTATTACCATTTCCATGAAAGATCACCAGTTTAGAGCCACTTTTGCGTTGTAGATCAGCGTCTCATATTTCGTTCGGCATTCGTCATACATGTCCGAAATAACGCAGCATATTATCCAGAGATATATGCAAAACGTCAAAACTTGTAGATATAAAGTAGCCAGGGGAAAATTTTCAACTTGAAAATTCCATATAAATAAAACGATATTGTTTTTTATATTTTTATTTCTCTAAAATGTAGGTAAGTAAACAGTGCGGATTTTACATTTTGAGAATTATATCGTCCAAAGATCGGCCATTTCTATCAACACACTCTTGTAACCAAACCTTGAGGTTTGCGAAAACGTGCCAATAAACGTGCAAAACGCTGGAGAAATGCCAATTTCACGCCGAATATTTTCTTATAGGGCTTCAATAGACCGGAAATTGTGTTGACCGGAAATCAAAGGTACCTTTGATTTAGGGTATCCTCCACAAAGAAAACGCACGGAGTGTGGTCTGGTGATCTAGACGGCCATGGGATGTCTCCATACTTGCTGATAAGTTTTTCAGAAAAATTGCCCTTCACTTAAACGTCGAATATCGAAGTGAGTACAAAAAGCATGCCGCGCACGAACCAGTGATTCGCCGCACTTTAGATTTTACTCGACCACAAACGCGCGATGTGTCCCACTCATGGTAACTAACAAACCCGCAAAGCGTGTGTTTCGAATGACACCTCTCCCGCGTACCTCACCCCGCTAGTACTTCGATGATTGCGACTTGAAGTTGAAAAATTGCCGTTGAACACCCTTTATAAAGACTTATTTATCGTAGTCGAAGTCTTTAACTATCCAAAGAGAAGGCCCGAGCCTCTGCAGGACGTAAAAAGAAAACGCGAATGCGAAGACCCTGATGTCTCTGTTTTTTCCATATACTTTACCAGCGATCAAGTTGTAGATAAAATAAATCAATAATCATTTGTTTAGGTAGCTGTAATATATTACATTATATAAAGTGCGATAGACAGATACATACCTCAATTTCGCTCAGCAAACATACGACCACTTTAATATTGTTTTCTAATACTGCTTTCCAGAATACGGCGTAATCATTTTCAGAGGGATTTTTAGAGATCACCAGTGGTATGCACCAAGAAGCTAATTGCTGCAAATAAATTAAAGAAAAATAATCGTATTGCTAGTCGTTAAAAAGGTCCCATGGTTTATAATTGACGTTTACACAAAAACTGGTATTTGGAGACGGTAGTACCTTATAATATGAAGCGTTGATATAAGCCTCGGGGTCAGACTTGAGCGTTAATCTAGAGTCGTCGTACGGCACCACGTCTGTAGGCTTATGGCCCTCGCCGTGTTTAAGAGCTATCGATTTAGATTTACACATGCTGGTGTTTTCCTGAAAAATAAGGATAACTGTACCTGCACCTATGAAAATTTTCATATCGATGTCTATAAATACATTAATCACTTGATGTGTTGCTGGATGTAAAACTCCAGAATGGCAGGACGATATTCTTTTTAATATTCCTTGAATTTGAAAAAGGAGGATATGTAGAAAATACGAATTATAAAAATCTTTAAAAATCTCAAATAAAAATAAATAAATACAAGTTCAATGAGTCAGCTGCTACAGTAAGCACATCGTGATCACACATATGACCCATCACGGGCGGCCAATGCCGGTTAACGGGTGATACCAACTGCAGATACAGCCGGAACCAACGGCTTAACCCTTTCGAAGCATGGAGGAACTCCATATAATATTTTGGCCACCCATCCGATTACCGGCCGTTACGAAAGCTGCCTAACTTTCGCATCGCAGACCGAACATAGTCGCGAATATTGCACATAGGCTGTATTTGACCGACCGTGAAGATATGCCGGCTTATCATGAGCGTTCTGATTGACACTCGATACGCGTCAGTGTTACTGTCCCGCTCATATTTCAACGTTTACGATGAGACAGCATTACGTACGTGCTGAGTGTACTTATTATATTCAATTTAAAAAACCATAGTCTTCTATATTCTGCGATATAAGGACTATATTTGTTACTTGAAGGACACGATAGATAAATTATCATCAGAGGTCGGAATTAGGTAGAGTTATTTATGTACTTGCATCGAAATGTTGATATTAATATGGACCTCCCGGGATTTCTTTATTTCTTTATTTCTTCTTTCTTTATTTCTTTCTTTCATTGATGTAAGTTTGGCAACGTCGTGCGTGCAGTAGTTTAAATTGTGTAAAAGTAAATAACTTTTTATTTAAAAAAATCATGGGATTTTTTCTGCTCTTTAAAATTAATCTCGGGATTTGAGGCAAATCCACTTTATTCTTTCGCTGTATGAAATCAGTGTAAGTACATGAATAACTCTACCTAATTCCGACCACTGATTATCATAGAACCTAATAAGCATTCCTAGTAAGCTATTGAAATAAAACAGAACCTTCGAAAGCAAAAAGCTTTTGTAACACAAAGTATTATAACATAAAAGGTCAAATTTCCACTGCCAATATTGCACGTAACAGCCAACATAATTAAAATAATTGTTTGGAAAAAATTGTTTTGTATAAACTAATGTACTGTTGACTGTACCTCGCTGCCTAACCTTCGGATCTTGCGTGAAACCATAAATATGTTCACAATATGTAATTACATGATAGTTACTCACTTGAACAGCCCGATAAATGTTCCATTTGGCATCTAAGCATTCACTAGAGGCCTTGTTGGAAAAGTTTTCTACTAATTTTTGAAGTTCCTTCACCTCTTGCGTGAAACTGTTCAACAGCATCGGGTCCGAAAACAAATCCCTTCTCGGCGGTCGCACTATGGTTTCCTCTTTGATTATCGGTTTCTGTACCGGTTCCGATTTAGGCACAACCACCGGTTTCACGATGGCCTTCTCCGATATCTGCGGCACCTTTATCTCAGGCATGAGCGGTTTCTGTTCGACACTGAAATCTATGTCTGATAACAGATCAAACACTGACGGCTCCTGTTTCTCCTCCTGTTGCATTTCAACCTGTTTTTCGGGTTGTCTATTTAAACTTTCCGCAGAAACCGGTGCAGGTTCGTTACAAACATTTGAATGTTGATCGAAATTTGGCGGTTGCTGAATCTCCTCTTTCGGAGATGAGACTGGAAATGAATAAATATGTAATGTAAATAAAAAGCTCGTATGGGAATAAAGTATTTATTTACTAAAATCTTATGTTACGATTTCAATTACAGATCCCATAAAAGGACAAGGTTTAAAGAATGGAAATATCATAAAAATAACATGGACAATGTTAATTCTTAAAATTAAAAATAAATAAATATTGAACTTCTTTAGTTAGCAAACAGTAGATAGGTAATATGGGTTAGAAATATATTACATATGGCATACTCCCACAAAATTACTAAGAACCCTTACCTTGATCGTTCGCATACGTGACACTAGTATCGTGCCCCTGCCCGGACAGCATATACGTAGATTGATTCACACTGGCACCATAATTAGTCGAAACCGGTTGGGAGCTAACAGTCGATACGTTAGATTGATCCGTACTCTGATATCCATAGGGTGCATTATAATAAGTCTGATCGACACCGATCTGCTGCGGCAACATGTTTTCAGTCATCTCAGAAGGCGACTGAACCGTTTCGCAAGAACCCGCGTTTGTATACATTCCGTGTGTAGGCAAATTTGGGTCTTTGGATATGGTCTGATTGACCATACTAGGCTGTTCGACACTGTAACTCGTGCTGCACGAATTCTGGGAGCCGTACGCGTAGTCATAACTTCCTGTGGCCTGGTTGTAAGTGTAGCCCGGATGGTTCTGGTAGGTCTGCACGAAATTCACAGATCGGTCGGGGTACGAGTAAGGGGTGCTCGGTTGTGCGTTTTGATCGGGTATGTTTTGGTTGGGATACGAGGATGCGTTCTGATCGAAACTTCGGTATGGAGTTTGAAAGCTGACATTCGACAGAGCTTCGCCGGTCACGTGCGACTTTATCGGTTTATCGTAAGCGTCAAGCTGCGACAAAACAGCGGGATCCGGCTCCTGGTAAGGGTACTGAGCCACGCCCACTGCGGGGTTCGATACACTGGTGGTCGACGTCATTGCACTGTCTGCGTTCGTGTAGATAGTGTACCCTTGAGGCATATTAGTGTATGCGCCAGTAGCGTAGCTGTACTCCGCGCTACTACTGTACACGACAGGGGGGACCGGTTCTGCCGGTTGGACAGGTTGAACCTGTTGTTGATTATAAGTATCACCGCTGTAAGGGTAGTTCAAAGAAGAGTAATCCGTCGGTATTTGCGACGGTGTCATATTAGTATTAGAGTTCTGTATCGCGTGGCTGTATGTCGCGTTATTAGGCGTGGCGGCCTGCGGATATTGCACGCTGTAGTACGTTTGCGAGTAGTCCGCGCCGTAGTTTGGATTCGGTTGGGGAGTCGACTCCTGTTTGGGGTACGAGATTTGCATTTGAGCGAAGTTCACGTTCATGTCGTTCGGATTCGCAGCGTTGTGCGGTACAGATTCCGGTGAGACTGGAGTTTGGCCGGCGCCGTATGGATCGCTGTATATATTGTATTGCCCGGTGATAGGGTCGACTGTCGCTTGGCCGCTGGGCGCGTACGGATTAGAGATTTGCGAGTCCGTCATCATCGTTGTATTGTTATGCGTCGCGCTGTAGTAAGGATTGGTGTATATCTGTGGATCGGTCACTTGCGTAGAGTACTGAGGGGGGGTGTAGGGCGTTGAATAGTAGTTATCCTCGGATTTCTCGTACGGTTTGCCGGTCATAGCATAATTGTAGTTACTCGGCACGATATAAGGTTCACTTTCGTTGGACGCGTAGGGAGTATTGTAACGATTGTACGCATTGAAATTCTGAACTTGCGGCATCACCACTCCGTCGGGCACTTTCATTTGTGATAAATCTGTCGCTGTAATTCAAATATTAATTCATTACAAATGAGGTGCGAGTAACATATGGTGATTTTAATGGGTAGAAAAACTCTAAATACCTTCGGATCCAACAGGCGTCGGCCGCACTGAGGTCGGATAAATGGTTTCAGGATAGTAAGCGTCCGCGGCCGCAGGATCCACTTGCGCTGAAATATAATTTTCGGTTAAATAAATCTTAACCAATCTTAATCGTTTCAATCGAACGGGATCGTGGTTACTAACCTTGCGGAGTGACACTTCTCGGGGCGTTTCTGTTCTTCATATAGGGCAAGTAGTCTTTGAGTTTCCTCGACCCGCCAGTAGAGGGCGGCGGGACAGAATCTAAAGATTTTACCGCCGTCGACGTCGTGGGTACTGCGGCTGTTGATTACATCGAAGATACAATATCTTATTATTAAAGGAAACATTAGGAAATTAACATGACAAGATATTCTAGATATCCTGTAATAGAAAACGAGAAACGTATAACTTGTAAAAAATCTACATGACACTTGAGAGCCCTTCTTATTTGTTCTGGAATGAAAATTCGGAAAATTTTGAATCATTACTTTTTAAAAAACAGAGGCAGGGGTCCGTTTCTACCTCTATCGTATCATAAACAATTGAAATATGTGTTTCTTCGTAGTCGTATTGTCACTTCGAAAATAGGCGATTCGTTTTCGGAGAAATGATAAATATAATATAGGTTTGTCGATAAAAAAATAATAGATATGACGATTATTATTTATTTTTTTTCATATATCCGTCAGGTACATTTTTGAAAAATATTAAACATGTATTAATTAATTTTTTACTATTTATTAAATTACGGCGATACATCGAGTTAAAATGTAATACGACGTCACAGTTTTATACATTTTCTACAAAACTGTGACGTAGTGAGCTTCCACTCTGCAACTTTAATGCCCGTTATTTAAGCTATTTCTTGTTAAAATGAAGAAAAGAAATACATACCTAATATTTTTCTATTATCTGACTGACGGATTAAATAGAATTTCATTTTTTACTCATTCGTCAAAATTCACCTATTGTATCAAATTTTGACCTAAAAATTTATTACTGCGTCTAGTGATGAAATTTATGTAAAAAATAACTCATTATTTACTTATTTAAATCTTAAAATAAAGTCAGGATAAAAATCGCGAGGCTGACAATTATTTTAACACAGTAGTACTACGACAACTACCCGAGTGCGATTCGGACCCTAAAACGACGGTTCGTTACACTACCCTCAATGCGATTCGGACCCGACGACGGTATGCTACGTTTCGTGTCATCCACTACGTAAAAAATATTCTTTCGTTACAAGATGAAAAAGTGCACACCAAAATTCAGATTAACTTCTGTAAAAAGTCTAGATTTTAATTCATTAAATTTTTAAGGAGTTTCACAATTATTTACCTATTTTACGTGTGATAAATTTTAATTATTTTAATAATTAATGTGAATTGTTAACTTTATTCTTTTTTTGTAATGTGTGTTTTGTAATGATAATTGTAAGTGTGTAAACGAACCTTTGCCGGCGGCGGTGGCGTTGTTGCCGGCGGTGGCGGCGGCGGTATTGGCGGCGGCCGCCCGCAGCAGCTGGTGGCGCTCCTCGCTGAGCACCTGCACGGTGGCGCGCGCGCGCTGCAGCAGCTGCGCCGCGCTGTGCGCCAGCCGCCGGTAGAACTCCTGCCCCTTGTGCGACTTGCCCACCAGCTCCGAGTACGTGTCGTACGACGTTATCAGCGCTGCCAAATGCGGAACGTCCTTAATTTAGCTCCCGTTATCGTACATAGGACGGGTCAGTCAGGTTTTAGCGACATTTTTTTTCCACAGGATAACAGAATATATAATTGACATTTAATCTATAATATGTACATCATTGAAGCGAAATTGACTTGCTACTCAGTGGCGGACTAAGGAAGGGCGGAGGAGGCGGTCCGCCCCGGAAATCCTGTCCTCGGAGACTGCCGAATGCAAGTTCCCTTGATCGAATTATAAAGTTGGAGTCTAATTTCGTAGTTTTAGCAGGCGTCTTAGCAGAGGAGGAAGGGTAGTAAACGCAATATCGAGTTTCTGCCCCAGTTGGAAAAAGTTGTAGATTGAGGCCCGACGTCACCCCGAGCCCCCGACATGCAACAATAACGATAACTTTCTTCATCGACCCCCTCGAAGACAAAAGCGTAATTATATGAAATCGGGACAGAAGAATCTAGTGGTAGCGTCAGCAACATTTGTTCATTACTTAATATTTGTAAGTTTATAAGTTTCTAATTCGAAGATTATACCGAAGCAAGATTCGAATATACCTCAACTTAGAGTGAGTACAGAATAAAAACGAAATATTTCACTTACTTTCAGTAAAAAAAAAGGAAATACTGAAGATTATACCGAAGCAAGATTCGAATATACCTCAACTTAGAGTGAATACAGAATAAAAACGAAATATTTCACTTACTTTCAGTAAAAAAAAAGGAAATACTGAAGATTATACCGAAGCAAGATTCGAATATACCTCAACTTAGAGTGAGTACAGAATAAAAACGAAATATTTCACTTACTTTCAGTAAAAAAAAAGGAAATACTAAAATAACTTCTTTAGTAGATATTTGCATTACATTTTACTCCATGCCTCCTACTAAATTAACATCAAATAAAAAAAAAATGGGAAAGATTAAGAGAGGCCTATGTCAAAAGGCAAACAGAAATAATCGATGAATCAACTTATTAAATATAGTCAATGTTATTATATAAAATTTAACATTGACATAAATAAATAATACAATATCAACATATATCAAGATAATTATGTAATCTAAGAATAAAATTGTTTTAATTAAAAGTATATTTGACATATAAATTTAATAGTTCTCTGAATAAAGGCTTATTATTATTATTACTTGATGCCTCCTACAATATATTTATAAACGTTTATAGATAATTATTATTATTAATGTGAATATAAATAGAATTCAGAGTGACTCACCATTGATGAGTCCCTCTCGCTTCCTGAGCACGTCCGAGAGCAGACGTCGCGAGTCGCCGTACGACGCGTACAGCGACGTCAATTTGTTTATTATATTCTCCTGGGCTGCTAGATTCTGCTCGATTATTTTTACCTGAAACAACCGCCGTCTATATCACAATATATATTTAAAAAACTAAGATATTACATGAAAAAAATTCAGACTAATCTACTGAACTCTGCGAGAAAAGTAATGTATTAATTACTTGATTTGACCTAAACTACACAAGTAATCAATAAGTAATATACCTACTAAGGGTTATAGATTACTTCAAACTACACTTACGAGAATAAAATTTAAAATTTATATGTTTATTTATTCTTGAAGCGAAATCTGCAGGGGCACCAGTTACTATGGGCGTACCTCAGGGATCGATATTAGGACCATTGCTTTTTCTAATTTATATAAATGATCTTCCTCACTTTACGAAGAATTTGTGCGAGACAGTATTATTTGCAGATGACACCTCTTTACTGTTTAAAGTTGAGAGGGGTAATGATTGTTTTGACGATGTAAATAATGCTCTCGACAACGTTCTACAGTGGTTTGATAATAATAATTTAAAGCTCAATTCAAATAAAACGAAATGCATAAAGTTTGCATTACCTAATGTGAGGCATGTCAGTACACTTATAAATGTAAATAGTGAAAAAGTTGAGTTAGTAGAACCGACAAAGTTCATTGGTATTACACTAGATTCCCGACTGCAATGGGATCCTCATATTGATAGCTTGTTAAGTAGACTAAGTTCTGCAGCTTTAAAATTTAAAAAAATTAGACACTTGACAAATGTTGAAACGGCAAGATTGGTATATTTTAGTGTTATTTTCATAGTGTAATGACGTATGGTATATTGTTATGGGGTTCTGCGGCTAGCATTCAGGATGTTTTTATTTTACAAAAGAGAGCTGTCCGTGCTATATATAATTTACGGTCTAGGGAATCTCTCAAAGAAATATTTAAAGAAATAAATATTCTGACTGTTGCCTCTCAATACATCTATGAGAATATTATGTACACAAGAAAACATTACGATTCCTTCACAAAAAAAAAGTAGTGTTCATAATCTTAACACAAGAAATAAAGATAAACTTGCCGTTCCAAGCTTCAGACTTCAAAAAACCAGAGGATCATTTCTGGGTAAATGTATTGCTATGTTCAATAAAGTTCCACAAAATGTAAATCTACCCATAAATAAATTTCAAATTCATGTTAAGAATATACTTGTGAGTAAAGGCTATTATAAAGTTGATGATTATTTTAAGGATCGCAATGCATGGAATTAATAGCCTTCGCTTTGTTCTATAAAGACTAATTATATGTTCAACTTATGTCCTACAGACTTTGAAAGTTGTATTTACTATTGTGATAAATTGATAATACATATTATTTTAGTAATGACATGATTTATGTAAATGTCATTACTTATGATAAAAAGCTGATAAGTTTCTTTCGCTTGTTCTTCTTGTCAGCTAAAAGACGTCCTGGACAAGTGGTAGGGGAAAAAAGTTTTTTGGACGATTCAAAAGTGCTTGTAATAGCCTACTTGAATAAAGATATTTTCATTTCATTTCTTTGCAATATGGCGAGTTTGCATTCATCACAGTCAAGTCAACAAAGATAACCAACTATATTTAACGGACAAACCTTTCCGAATTGCATATATATATTCTGAACATAATAAGAATAAAAAAAAACGCAACCGACAATACGCACCTTTCCATCACGTTCATATATCATCATCATCATCAGCCCTTTTACGTGCCCCCCTGTAGGGGCTCAGGCCTTCCTTACATATGGTTAAGGAGGATGGGCCATGACCCTCCACGCTGGTTCAATGGGGATTGGAAGGTATTAACGACTGCAGACGCAGCCGGACCAACGGCTTAACGTGCCTTCCGAAGCACGGAGTAGCTCGAGATAATAATTTTTTGGTTACCCATCCCGTGACCAACCCTTGCGAAAGTTGCTTAACGACAAAGATCGCGGATCGCGGCACTTATCCACTACGCCAACAGCTATATACTCAAAATTTGCTAATGTAAAATCTGAATACGAACGGACAGTCTGTGTGTGAATAATCTATAATATAAAAATGAATCGCAAAATGTGTTGGTAAGCGCATAACTCAACAACGCCTCGACCAATTTGGCCAAATCTTTTTTTAAAATGTTCGTTGAAGTTCAAGGATGGTTTTTACGGCGAGAAAAATTAGAATTATTGCTGGAAAAACCCTAAAAATAGCCCTTTTCTTTTTCCCATACAAATGATTTGTAACTAAAACGTAGTCAATTTGAGCTTTATTGCTATGGTATAAAGTTCATATTAAATTACAAGCACTCACTGTTGTCTAAGCAATGTAGGCTTTTTGACAGGACGAAGTCTGTCGGGTCAGCTAGTTAGTCTATAATATTATACCTTGGGCGTGTGTTTCTCGAGTTCACGGCGGAACATCTCGTCGGCGGGCTCGGAGCTGGCCAGCAGTTTGGCAGTGATGTCGTCCGCTGTAATAGCTTCCCGCAATTCTTGTACCAGAGCCTCTCGTTGCGCTTGCATCTCCCTGGCTTTGCCCACAACACGACGGAGTTCCGACATTGTGGTGCGATCCAAACCCTCTGCCGGGTAAATATTGATAATTAAAATATTTCAGTAATTATAATGCAACTTATGATACAAATTATAGAGGAATAAAGCATTTATTAACCTAACAATTCAAGAACTCGCCAATGTTACTATGATAGATAGTTTTAGCATATCAGGTATATCACGGGTATATCTGATTACTGAGTACAGTATTTTACTTGAAAATTATTTCTTTTAATAAAATCCCTTAAAATATTTTGTTTACTCCCTAGCCGACCTGAAATCGAAAGTAAAACACAGCAAGTGTCAATTTAATATCATTCTGCACGAGACGTAAAAGTCGGTTAAAGGCACACATTTTGCTGTTTTTATTTATGGAGTTAAGAATCTGTCACTGTTCAAGGAAAATAAATGGATATTAGCTCAAACATTTTTGGCAAAATATCAGACCATAAAGAATGCTATGTGATCACGTTACCGATGTTGTCGATGCTGGGTATCTTGGCCTGCAGCACATCCAGCGGCTGGGCCAGCAGTCTCAGGTTGGCGATGTGCAGGGTCATAGCCTTGTGCAGCACCTATTATATTGTATGTTATTTTAATTTTATTAATGAGTATGTAATTACCTGTTTGTTATATTTAATATTGTAATGGATATTCAATGAAACACTTTTCAATTCGAAATCTCCATATGCAACAAAAGAGGGGAAAAAAATCATTCCTTGGCGATTTTCTGTTTTGTCTCCCGGTGAAGATAAGCAAACTGATGGCATAAATTTCCGTCATTTACAAACGCTTGTGACCGCCTAAACCGAATAAATGATAACTCGTACGAACTCAGATGAAATCTGCCTATTTTATTTGTTCTCGGACGAAAATTTTGAATCGTTCTTATGATTTTGACAAATCATATCCGTGAAGATTATCTGTCACATTCTACCTACTTTGCATCATAAATGATAGAAAAATGCGTTTTTAGCGTCTTATTAAAATTTCGAAAATAGACATTGAAAATAGAAATTTCAAATCGAAGAAATAGAATGAGTAGAATACTTGGTTGCTCTCGTTGGTCCGCGCGTGCGCCTCCTGGTACTTGTGGTACTCGCGGGACAATTCGGTCTGCACTATGGACGGGGGACGGGGACCAATCACTTTCTGGTATTCTTTCTCTTTTTCTGTCTCCTCCTATATAAATAGTTACAAAATTTCAAAACGGCGACATAATTAAAAAGTATGCTGTGCAAATCCTCTCTCTATGTACTACAAGGGATCTGATGTAATATACATCGATAGTGAAAGTTATCTATACTGAAAGCTACTTTTCTTGTTCAATAATATAAAAAAATTAAAATAACACAACGGATAATAAAGCGGTAGTTATCAATATACACAGTATACACAGAGATATATACAATATTCACAGAGAAAGATTTATAGGTATAATCAAGGAACAAGCGAGCGAAACTGCTTTATATTTTGGAAAGGTAGTTTTTTATTAAAATCATATCGCCTTTATGTAAGTATCGTAAAGTGAGCTATACAGTGAAGCGCAGATCAAATGGAAAATATAACTGTACTGTAATTATTATTAATGACCAAAATCTTACCTGAATGAGATTTTTTATATCAGCTAAAGTATGTTCAACGTCGCTAATGATTTCCGCTAAATTGTTCATTGAATCCACTAGGGTTTGTATTATTTCCGTTTTAGCATTCATCGCCGCACACCTGTCTACAATTTCTTGAGGTATCCTGTAAAATTATAACTTGCACATGGACTATACAAAAACTTAATTACTAATAAAAACTAAAAAAAAAAATCTTAGTCGCCATAGGACTACTATCATCTGAATTTTCCATATAATATTGAAACAACGTCGATAAAACAAAACCAAATTGTTGTTGATAGAAAGCATTTGAAGGACCACTTTTATCTCTGATAAGAGAACCTAGTTAGAATATGTTGAATACAGTAGTCAACAATTTTTATTATAAAAAATTATATTTACAAAAAATTATTGAATATCTACATAAAAGTAGCACGAACTTTTGATCTGAATCCAGCACATCCAGTTGATCGAGCTGCAGGGACGACATGAACTCCATCAGCTCAGTATTCTTGACTTCAACTTGTGAGACGACATGCCTGAGCAATTTAGCCTTCACCTCAGAATACATTGAGGATGCCTCGTGAGCTTCCATCGGTACCAAACGAGAAAATATATCTGGACCTGATATCTACAAATTAAATATAAAAATATAGGATACCCTTTTTTAACCTCATACAATTTGTATACATTATAATTATATGCAACCAGGTTATAATTAAATGTAATCTGTTAAAAACATTATTGCCGGATTACCCTCACGCCTCAACTTAAATCAGAAGACGACACCCGCCAGTTCTCCAGTCTCCTCGTGACCACGGCTGTTGCAATGTAGACGAAACGTTGTGGGAAATAAATAGTTTCAAAATAATGCATGAACAAGACCCGGTTACATATAATTATATTAGAATACCCTTATTTAAAGTTGAAATTATTTGACAGAATAGAAGAGATTTTAGTATACCTACATGTTACAGCCAAGTGGTATAATCAGCCAATTAATTGAATGGCATCATTCAATTTACAGACTGGCTTTCGATCAACCGAGTAGTTGAACGCAATATTCTACAATATGGCTGTACAAAGGTCAGACAACAAATTAACTGTCTTTCATTGAGAATACCAAAATTTATTGGTAGAATTAGAAGTAAAACAACATAAATGTTGAAGTGGGTAATTTTATTTAAAAGTCGAGAACTCCTTGTTACTATCTGTAATCAATACAGATAGAGAAATGATCAAAAAGATAATAAAAACTACTCATTCGCGATTGGGTGTTAATGGTCCAAATGATCTGATACAGGCAGCCAACATACACACCCATTACGCAAGTGGGTTAAGCTTAAACTTTCATAATAAATTTAGTTTTAAAGGCTTTTAAATCATCCAAATAACATTTTCAATTAGAAAAGTAGGCATGCAATTGAATGGCACCCTTCAATTAAATGGCTAACCCAATTAAGCAGCTATTTTTAACCAACACCAGCCCTCTTACGTCCCCACTGCAGGGGCTCAGGCCTTCCTTACGGATGGTTAAGGAGGGAAATATTAAAAAATTGCAAGCTTATCCACAAATGTTAAACAAATCAACATCTAAACATTTGCATAATTTTGATAAACTTTAATATTTAAAAAACTAAGGATCAGGTTGATTAATACATGAAAAAAGTCACCTACCTCAGTATCATTCAAATCAATAGCTATAGATTTTACTAAGCACACAGGTTTGAGATCCACTAGCAAGTCCTTATCAGGGACCTCTTCATGATATATAAACTCATTCTCATTCTTAGCAGCTTTCTTCTTGCCCTCAACCACATCATTCGTGAAATTCAAAGCCTCCTGTGTTATTTGTGTAGGTTCAATATATTTTGCTAATTTCCTGGCCTCATTTAGTTTATCAGCTGCCTGTTGATAGTATGCCACCCTCTCTCCCATTTTCTGTTGCTCTTCAGCATTCATCCCTGTATGTAGAAAAATATACTATTACTATAAGATCCTTATTACCTTTTCACTCACCCTGTCATTTCCTAGTCATCAGAATTGACTTTTGCTAGCAAAACATATGTTTAAAAATAAACATTAAATGAATTGGTACTTTCATTCTCAGCCAATACTATTTTATTCAAGTTGGGAAAAATTTCACTATTTTAATTAGTTGTATTACTACAATTTTTTCTCTATACATTCAGAACTTCTCTTAGCTAATTAATGAAACTCCACAATATTTAATAAAAATAGAATGATTTATTGTTGTTACACAAGTGATGTCTTATAAACAAATAGCATTTACATTTATATTATATAGACAGTATAAATTACATATTACTAAGTAGTAAAATCAATTATTGGTAGAAGTCTACCAACATTAAAAACCAGAGCACTTTTTAGATCCAAATTAATCATGACAATTTACTAATCAGCAAGTTCTATTATTTTTAGATAAGAAAAAAGTGACTAATTTACATAATAAATGATTCATAATTACCTTGGTATAAACAGACTATGCATCCAATATAAGCAGCTTTGAAAGACAAGTATCTATGCCAGTAATTATATAGCTTAGTTCCAATTATCTCATGAATATTGTCAGTTCCAGTCGAGGGACCCAACAGAGCTAATGAATTTCTATAGAACAATAAAACTTGAATTGCCACTGCCCCTGTAATCATAATATAATAAAGACATTCTGTTCTATTTAGAACAATTATAGTTTTATAAAATAAATAAGCATAAGCTAAAGATATATACAAAACTGCATTAATGATTACTGGGTAGCTAAAACAAAAAATTTAATTATTTAAATAAACCAATATTCTTAAAAAAGCAATACTACAAACCAACAACACTAGGTTTTTTGGTGTCTTGTATACTCTTATCTAGTATACATTCCTGGGCTTGAGCAAAACAAATCTCTTGAAATAGTCTCATAATATCTGTTGACACATCAACACCAGCTGGCTGTGGATATTGTTCCCTTAAGGACTGGAAGGCCCATGCTGCATTCTGGTACTTAGTACATGCAGCTTTGAGACTATCAACTGATGTACGAGGCTCTGATGCAGCTAACTGGGTGTATAGAGCACCAATGTTATAGAGGATGCAAGCCATTTCAAATCTTATATCAGCTAGTGAACAGCTCATATTCGCATATAAATCTTTCCTGCAGATACAAAGTAGAAGCTTATATTATTATGAATATTAATTGCAAATAAAAGTTTATCTGTTCTATAAAGATGAATACATGATACAGATTAAGTAATGAAATTTCAAGAATAAAAAACCTAAATACAAATTTATCCAATCAAATTCTCATATAAAATCATTTTGAAAACACTTTTAATAGATACTTAGATGCTGTTACATCTAAATACTACATGATATTTATGTGAACCACTGGTAATACTATACATATAGGATGCTGTTACTAACTAGAAAAGTAAATATTAATGTTCTAAAATTATATGATGAGATAATATGTTTACCAAGCAAAGGAACATGCCACAGGTTGACCTTTAGCCATTGGGAATCTACTCTGTATGGCTCGTAGTTGACAAAAGTATCTGAGAAGAGCACTCAGCCCGGTTGTATCCAAACTGGGACGTACAGCCGCCGATCGCAACCCTTCCAGTTGATGAATCTCATTACTGTAGCTCTCAGGATCCTCCCGATATGCTTCACTTATATACTGTAAATAAAAACCAATACAAACAATAAAAAACGTTGAAGACAAAGAAATGCTTTAATTTATCTCAACAAGATTAGAAGACCTACTTACCTGTTTTAATTTTGGACCAAAATGCGTATTTTCCGGGCTAGTTTTCAATTCAAAACTTATCAAAGGTAGTTTTGGAACGGCTTCCATTTCTTCTCAGCGATTTATCAAGCCGAAATATTACAATGCACATAAAACAATTTCATCACAAATATTCGTCAAATATTCTACGATTGTTAATTTGTCATTTTTTACTTTTTGTTGTTGTTGTTATCTTAAATCACTAAAAGCAAAGTAATCTAGGCCTTACAGCGTTGCTTTGGTTATTTTCACGTCAAAAACGTTTAGTTCGACTTTTAAATTAGTGCACAGACTTTATGTAGTGCTTCTTTAGTTAAAAAGCAGAAAGCTATATAATATGTCAAGAAAAAAGAGGTGGCTCAATTAAGTGCAAATAAATTCATTTTTCTTGCTTCCTTATACTTCCTTACACAGGGTATGCCTATTAGTGATGTTCCGGATATCCGTATGCGTATCCGCGGATATCCGTATCCGTATCCGCGGATATCCGACGGAAAAGAAAGATCCGTATCTGTATCCATATCCGTTACTTTTCTCGCGGATCTTTTACAGATCTTTTAACTTATTAATTTTCAACTGATAGGATGAAATGCTATATTTATACAGGAATAATTTAAAACCACTGCGAAGATTTTGTGAAAATAAACTTTAAGTAATTTAAACAAACACGTATTTTTTATTTTGATATGTTCTAATACTAAAAAATAAAGTTATCGCTTATCAAAGATCGAGATTTTAAAACTTAATTTATGGACACCGCGAGCTGTGCGTCAGCTGAGCGCTCGACGCCGTAAGTATGTACTCGTAGGTACCTATCTACACGGGTCACTGCCTGCTCATTTTGTTAGATTCGAACTAGATTTTATGCCATGATCTGAGGTGATTTCTAAGAGTAATTCCAATTTTCCCTTCATACTTTTATGGTTAAGGCCATCAAAATGCAAAAAAATAAAAGAGAAACAAATCCATTAGCGTTCGCGACGTCGCTGTGAGCGCGCGTGGCACAATCGCGCTAGTATAAAAATATAAAATATTGCGGGTTTATGTGTGTGGTAATAAAACATGGAGTGCCAAAAATGTAAAAAAGTTCTTCCGAAAAAAGGTTCCCACTTCCAATGCCAGGGCTGCCTGGGTACATTCCATAGAAATTGTGTGAAGGGATTAGTGGCCGATATGAAAACTGGTAAAAATCGTATTTACTGCAACAACTGCGATGTTGACTCGGACGAAGAAGAGGTTCTTGAGGATGAAGACCACGACTTGAAAAATATCCTTAAAGATATACAAGGGAAAGTAAGTGTCATCCCCAGCCTCACAAAACAATTGGAGTCGATTAAAACATGCATGAGTGTATTGTCCGAAAAATACGACACACTAATAAAGGAACACGAACAAACCAAGGATAAAATCAACAAATTGGAAAAGAGTTTTGTTAACATAAACAACAGATGCATTTATTTAGAAAAATATAGTACTGCACTGGACCAAAAAGTTCAAGAATTTGAACAGGCTGCACGTAAGCGAAACATCGAAGTAGTTGGGATTGAACAGCTACCTAATGAAAATGTAAGAGGTGTTATCTGTAAACTAGCTGAGGTCTTGAAACTGAGCAGCTCTGAGATTGAATGGGTCAGCCGGCGGCAACAACGGAAAGCAAATAATAACGCAGCCCCTATTGTAATTGGATTCAAATCTACCGGCGCTAATGTAAGGGATTCATGGCTCGCGCAGCGTCCAGCATTGTCAAAGCTAACCAGCAACACCTTAACCGGAGGACTGTTACAGAATAAAATCTACATTAATGAAGACCTGACTAAAGCTACACGTGAATTATTATGGAAAGCTAAAAAACAGCTTCACGGAAAATATAAATATGTGTGGGTAGTCAACGGAAAAGTACTGGTAAAAAAATCTGAAGGTGATAAATCATTATTGATAAGAACGGAAGGTGACATCGCTAACCTACTCAACATATGAACGCACTCGAAGAAAACTAATATGAATTCACATGTTTAAATTAATTATAAAATTCACTGCTTTGGATTGCATAGATGTAATATCAGAAGCACCTGTAGATGCTTTAGAAATCGTTAACATCCATGACCTGTTACGTATCTGGCCTTCAAAACAAAACATGTGTTTATTTCATTTAAATATAAGGTCTTTAAAAAAGAATTTTAATGAGCTCCTAGTTATGTTAAGTAGTAATTTATCACAAATAGATATATTGGTGTTAACAGAAGCAAACATAAATTTCTCTTTGTTGCATTTTTATAAGATTGATGGTTATACCATACATAATTTGTGTCGTATCGGGCGGAGTGGGGGGGGAGTGCTCGTCTACACGCGTGAGAATCTCGAAGCACGGCTTCATGAATCGGCAGCGGTATCCGCAATGCGAGCGTCAGAGTGCGTTTCCACATCAATTGTTTACAATAACGAACCAATACAAATCATTAGTGTCTATAGACCGCCGCGCATAAATAACCAAAACAAAATAATCCAGTTTCTCGAGGAATTTCGTAACTTGTTAGATAGTTTGCCTTTACATACTAAGATCATATTTTGTGGAGATATTAACCTAAATTTATTGAACGCTGAAGACAATTACATTGTCACATATGAGAATCTCTTAGCCGAATATGGATTGATTAGGTGCATAAATAAAGTTACAAGACGAGAAATTTTAAACGACAAGCTAGTCGAGTCTTGTATAGACCATATCTATGTACGCGCCCCCATGGCTATAATTAATGCCGCGGTAGTCCAAACAAAAATTTCTGACCACTACCCCGTTGTGGTAGCAGTGCAGTGGAAGCGTTCTTATACTCCTGAGCATTCCATGCTCGGCGCTGATGACCCCTCTCACCCCTCTCCGCCAGCGGGAGTCGCACGTCGAGTGCTCGATAACCGCGCCGTACGTGAAAAATTATTACAGACTAATTTCAACGATTTATTACGTATTGAGTGCCCATGGCTGCTTTATAATTCATTTACTCAATTATTTACAGATGCTTACGATAGTTGTTATAAAGATATTGTATTGATTAGTACTAAAAAGAGAAATAATAAGTGTTGGATTAATGATAACCATAAAAAATTAATATCGGAAAGGGATAAGCTATTTTTGATTTGGAGTAAAGATCCGTTGAATATGATAAAACGATTAGCGTATACAAAACTAAGAAATAAATGTATAAAAATTATATATAAAAGTCGAATCAACTATGATAAACAATGTATATTAAATTGTAACAATAATATAAAAAAGTTATGGGAAAGAATTCACTTGTTACTAGGGAATGAGAAGCAATCATTGGACAATTTAATTATTCATAGTATGAAGGGACAAGGTAATGAACTACAAATTTGTAATAGGTTTGCAAATGTATTTTTGAAGGATATTGACAGAATAAGACATTCATGTGATAAGAAATTTTTGGATAGGAATACATATATACAACGTAGTAATATTAATATAAAATGGGAACCTGTAAGCTGTGACTATGTTAAACGAATTATTATGAAAATGAATGTTAACAAAGCGCCGGGTAGTGATCTAATACGTATGTGTGATTTAAAGTTTTTAGTGGATAAAATAAGCCCTATAGTCGCTAAGCTAATAAACTTAAGTGTAATGAAATCTCATTTTCCAGATAGGTTAAAAGAAGCGGTTATCCGCCCTATCTATAAAAAAAGAAGTGACCGTAGGGAATGCTCAAACTACAGACCGATTGCAATACTCTCAAGCTTGGACAAAATCATAGAAAAATGTATAGTGGAACAGTTGAGCGAATATATCAGAAACAATAACATTATTAATAAATGTCAACACGGGTTTCAAAAAGGTAGGAGTACAAGCACATTGTTGTCTAAGTTTAATGACGAAATTAACAATTATCTTAATGAGAAAAAAGTAGTGGTCAGTGTCTTTTTTGACTATAAAAAAGCGTTCGATACCCTTGAAACAGAGCCATTGTTGAATGCAATGGAGGAGTGTGGAGTGGGTTGGCCATTGAATAATTGGTTCCGTGACTACCTCACTTCGCGCTCTTTCCGTGTCAGGCTGGGCGAGGTATATAGTGACAAAAAAGAAGTGCAATGTGGTGTGACACAAGGGTCCGGGTGCGGTCCTATCTGCTTTTTAATGCATGTAAATAGCCTGAGCGGTGTACTTCGCCACACCTCCGCATATATGTACGCAGATGACCTATGCGTGTTGCGCGCGGGCACTGACCGCACAGAAACCTACCGCCTAGTCCAAAATGACGTAGACGAAATAGTCAAGTGGTCTCATGACAATGGGATTGTGCTTAATGCTGACAAAACGAAACTACTAGTAATACACTCTCCTTATATAGAATTACCTGATATGTCTCACTCAATTGTCGCTCATAGTTATGATTGTTGTCATAATGGTCTAGTCGCTTGTTATTGTAAGCCAATAGAAAGGGTTAAAGTTATTACTTATCTTGGATTGGTGGTGGATGAGCATTTTTCGTGGTCAGATCATGTAAGCCATATTTGTTCTAAACTTAGAATATTGTTATCCAAATTTTACTATTTAAGTTATAAAGTTCCCTCAAATACATTAAAATGTTTATATATGTCTCTAGTCGATTCCATATTGGGGTACGCAATCGACACATATGGTCTTACATTTTATACTAATATACAGAAACTAGAATCATTACAATTGCGCTTTTTGAAACTACTCGTTAATAAAAAAACTAAGAATAGCTGTAAGGGAGATTATAAAAAGTTATTTCAAATTTGTAAAATTCTCCCAGTTAGTTTAAAACTTAAATATATACTTGCCATAAATAACCATAGTAGTCGGGAGCGTCACCCATTGATCTCGCATAAACATAATACTAGAGCAATTGCAGTAGGTAAATATGTAGTTCCCAGAGTTAACAATTATTATGGTGATAGAACTCTAAACAAAAGAGTCCCATATATATTAAATAGCTTACCTGACAATATTAGGCATGAAAGTAACCTAAAAATATTTTCCAACCTACTAAAGAACTATTTAATGAATAGCCTGTAACACATGTTGTACTTAACATGTATGTAAATGAATAAATTATACTAATCAAGTAGCATTACATGTAACTCAAAACGAGACTCATAGCCCAACCACAGTCAAACTGTTAATATAGTTTTGTGGGACCTAAGATTATTTAAATTTTGTAATGGAAAGAATTAAATAAATTATTATTATTATTATTATTATTATTACCTACAAAAAAATATTAACGTTATGCCGAAGTTACATAGGTACTTCTGCGTTAAGGCGTATCTAAAAAAAATGGAATCAACTACGTATTTACAATAATGTTGAATCAAAACAAATACCTAACTAATTACTTACCATGTATTTTAATATTTGTTCAAAATGAATCCCACGTCTGTCCAGACATAAACGTGCACATTTCATTAAATTGTCATTTAATTTATTTAAATTACTAGTGTCACTTTTCACTTCACTAAAAGCGTTATTATTTTTTATTGTTAAGTCTTTCAGACTTTGTGCCTCCTCTACATCCCGGCGTTTGACTTCTTCCCATAAGAAACAGTCCCTCACGTGTGAACAATGCCTCATCCGTCCACAAGATGTTTGCATCGCGGTGATGTAGAAGCCACTCACATAAGGCTCGACGTGGTACTGAGTCTAGGTCATAGAACTGCTGAACCGGCTGAAAGTGGTACGGATGGAGTCCGGCTGTTTTTAGCAGCTTCAATGCCGCAGGCTGGCTCACACCAAAGAGAAATGCCGCATCGTGGGTACTGACTCTGGGACTTCGTCTATTAAAATGGTTCGAAGCATTAGGGACCGCGGGGTTACGGATCCCAAAGGCCCGCATACGAGGTATGCGTTTCGTCGCATACTTTCTCCGAATTGCGCTTATGTAGGTTCTCACCACTCAGAAGATAAACTCGTACCATCTCGTAAAACTCACGACGGCGGGCGCGTCGCGTGCGCGGGAACGCGCGGGCGCGTCGCGTGCGCGGGAACGCGAGGGCACGTCACATCGGCGCGTGCGTATGAGTCTCACTGCCGCGCGCGTCGCTCGGTCCCGGCGGGGCGGTGGGGGCTGTTACGGGGGGCTACCGGGCGCGGCGGGGATGCACGGTGGTATACGCAAGAGAAGACGTTTTCATTGAAGTTTTATTTTAAAAAATGTGTCCATATTCTACCGTTTCGATAGGGATAAAAATATTTTTTTTTTTAATTTTTAACTTATTATGGAAAAGTGTTCTATTACTGATACTGAACCACCAAAAAAAATTTTTGCACTGGAAAAAAAAATATTCCTGTATATCAAAATCATCTTGCTTCCATTATTATTAAATGCAAAAAATTGTTAACTGAGTGGCTTAAGACACTCAACTATGAAGAAACTAAACAGATTCTGAGCAGAATAGTATAGGATTTTATATAACTGATTGTTTTAGATTTTTAAAACACATTCACATACACACACGCACAAACACACACACACAGAGAAAGAGAGAGAGAGAGAGAGACGCACGCAATACTACATCTCACTCACTCATTTAGCTACTAAGTAATTCATAATAATTATTCTAAGATTGTTACTGGTTTTAGGCAAAGAGCGAAGCATAATAATTACTCTCTGGGATTGTTTTAATAAATTAAAACAGGGTTGGTAACACCCTACTGTTTTAACAGTAGATTTGCTGTTTTCACTGTTTTCTGTTTAATTCCTAATTTTTACTGTTTTTTAAGTTGCATCACTATGCACATACATACTATGCAAATTTCAAATATTATCTACTTGCTAATTGCTACTCATTTGAAGCCAGCAAAAGGTACATGAAGATATTCAACAAAAGTATGCTTTTAAAAAGGTAAATGTGTCAGAAAATACGAAAGATTGAGGAAAGTAGAAAATAATTTAATTTTTTATTACGTTTAATTTTTCTCCTATTTTTTATTTTGCTATCAATATTATAATATAATAAACATATGTAAGTTCTGATAACTAAAAAAAGTATGTGATTGTTTTAGTTATTTGCGTACAGTACCAAATATGCCTCTTTACTTAACCTACTGTTTTCCACTTTTTTATCGGTGATCTCTATTTTTCTAGTTTCTTGGGGTTGGCAACACTGATGCATAGAGTAAAGTATATTCTTGTCGGCTACGGCATTATAAGTTTTGTCAATCGATTTTCTATTTATTTTATGTGATTGAATAAAAGTAGATAAATGATTTATCAGTTCACTTCCTTTGTAACGTAATGTAACATTGTATTAAGTCTCAATATCACTGTTTCCAAAATGAAACTTAAAAAACTAAAGTCGGATACAGAGGTTCGTTCTATATCAAAAAGTATTTATTACTTTGTTTACACGCTGTTAACGGCGCCAAAGATTTATAAAATTGTTATTTTTAGGAGGTGGTTCCTCCTCAAGCTGAAATTATTGAAGCGGACCTATACAAGCGTTCATACTTCGGTCCCGATGTGCCAACTTTGGAGCTTGAATGTTGGGAAGAGGAATTGTCTGAGGCACAATTGCAGGCTTACAAGAATGCTGACGATGAGTACAAAAGTATCCAAAATAAACTTGACGAGATGGTGAAGAGCACCGGTGGTGAAATTGTGTACAATGGAGATCAATTTACTGCATATCAATTACTTGGAAAGTATGTTATATTAATAGAAAGCAAATCTATGCATAAATTGACGGTCCCTATGTAGATACAGTAAATTGTCTGTCAGGTCATACCTGTCTAAGATTGTTTTTTAAATATCATGTATTTGACTTGATATCATATCATATCAATGATATGCAAATTGTATATAGGATCAAGTGTTGAAATTGCAGTCAAAAAGTTTCATAGATGTGAGAATCTATACATTGTAAATAGATTATTTCTAGAGTGATTTGAACTGACATTACACTCTCCTTGGATTTGACCTGTCGTGATGTACATAGGGACCGTCGAAATATTTAAGGCTTATGTATGTTTAATTAAGGTTGAACTGCCAAGGTGTTTTATTTAGTCAGTCTAACCATATCAATTAACCTTTTGATTAATATCTGCAGACCTTTTCCTACATCCCTACTGTTATTGCCATTTAATGTTTGTGCTACATATAGCACAAATAATACAATCCTGTTATTTTCTATATTATCAAAGTAAAATAAAAAGTATAATAAAATTAATAGTTCTATAACTGGATGCTGATAAGCAATAATGGGTTAACCCACATAAGTTGCTTTCATAGATTTTGATCATGTGATCTAACTTTGGTCTATGATGATAATAATTTTTCTTTTTATTTTCAGTCTCAATATATATATTATTTTTGTTATCACTACTAAATAATTCATTTTTGGATTCGCCAAATCCCTAAGTTAAATAAACACTACTGGATGTTTATTAGGGATGATGTTTATTAATTGAGCAGTATGTATTGCTTGGGACTAAACCAATAATTTTGCTAATATTGCTCATACTTTATTATCCCTCTTCTAACAATAAAGTTAACTTTGATTAAAAAGACTACAAGCAATGGGGTATTTCGCAAAAGATTTAAAACTATAGTAGACCTGTGTCATTTGTGTTTTAGACAACCAGTTCTTAAAGATCTTGAGAGGCAAAGTGCTGAGATTATAAGGTCAAGATCTCGCTCACTTTCTGTTTCTAAAGAGAAACCTATAGGAAAGAGAGGTATAGTTTGTTATTGTTTTCAATTTAGAATTAACTGGCAGTCAATTTACTCTTATTATTATATTACCTTTACTCTTATTATGCAGGCCGTCCAAGGAAATATCGTGAAGAAGACAGGGACTATTCTCCATCTCCTGAGAAGGCAAAGTCACCTGAGCTACGACATAAGAAAAAGAAAAAAGACAAGGAAAAGTATAAAGAGAAAGAGAAGGAAAAGGAGAAAGAAAAGGATAAAGATACCAAGACTAAAGATAAAACATTGGCACCATCCAGTAAGCAGCTTTTGATAATAAATTTTACTTACTCACTTTTATCAATGGCTTTTAGGGTGCACTACCCAACAAGACGAAGTGCCAATAGGTCTCTATAATATGCTTTCATTGTTTGTCGTAGGGATAAAGTTAATGTAAATTTTTTCTATAGTATATTGCTAAGGCCTCCAATGGATATATTATGAAAAATGCATTTAATTTTGATATTATACAGTGTATAGCCTATAATATGACCTTTATTTCAAATAAGTATAGTATAATCGTCATCATCATCAGTCTTTTTACCTCCCCACTGCAGGCCCTCCTTATGGATAGTTAAGGAGGTGGCCCTCTACAATGACTGAATGCGGATTGGAGAGTATTAATGACTACAAATGAAGCCGGGACCTACGGCTTTACGTGTCTTCTGGAGTAGCTCGATATAATATTTTTTTGTCACCCATCCCGTGACCGACCCTTGCCAAAGTTGTTTAACCACAACGACCGCCGGCCGCGGCGCTTAACCACTACGCCTCCGAGCACCTAATTGTATAAATAAGTACTAATAATTTCAGGTACTTAAACAGAATTTAGTAATTTTAAGGTGTCGATTTTTGTATTCATTAACAGACGTGCACAGCGTGGTTACGAACGTGCGTCCCTCTGAGGCTACAGCTATAGGCGGCCTCCTCACCGGCAGCGCTACCAAGGCCACCGCAATTGTCGATCTCACTAAAGAGGACGGCAACAAAAATGTCGCCGATTCTCGTGAAGTTTCATTCAATAAGCTGCAAGGTATTTTTAATTAAACTTCCAATTTTCTATTAGGATACAACATTGCTTTATTGTTGAGTTTGTGGGAATACTATTGGAACCGCGGTCCCGAGCTGGGTGTTGGTAGCATGGAAAACGCGGTTCAATTGATATTGGTTGGAAATTGTGATGTGTTAAGTCGCGGCGAAACTTATTCAGCGCGATGCAGATACCGCGTTGTTATCTAGCGACTGTTTGATGTAACTCGAAGCTTCCGTCTTGCCGTCGATTATTGTTCAATCAGCAGATCGGTGAGCTTGTTGAGTTATCATGTGAAACTAACAGTGACAAATTATAATATTGTTTCAGGCAAGACATTCCCGTCCCTGGTAGTTGTGGCGCGACCATATCTCCGCTCTAAGGAGGGACCGCCTCCCTCCGACCGGTCCGCGCTCGACAGCAAGGTAACGAAATCGTCATCAACTCAGTTAATAGGGACGATGACTGGGTAAAAAAAAATGCAATTCTATTTAGTCCGTCAGTTAGATAATAGAAAAATATTAGATACGTATTTTTTTACTTTAATTTAACAAAAAATAATATAAATAACAGGCATTAAAGTTGAGGAGTGGGGGCTTGCTACGTCACAGTTGAGTAGAAAACGTACTCTAACGTAAAGTCATGCTAAATTTCAACTCAATATAACGCCGTAATTTGATGATTACGAAAAAAATTAAAAAATACGTGTTTAATATTTTTTAACACTCTACCTGACGGACAAACAAACAAAAATTAGTCATCATCCTTATACTGTAATATATGGTTACTGACAGTCATCTATATAAACTGTGAAACTTATATAAAATTAAAGATATTTAATACTCCTCAACTAGTAATTTTTAAATAATGAGATTCAGTTTATCCATATTTTAAATAAAATACCTGTTTTGGAACTCCGTGTCACGTGACTTCTAAAAAACTACCTAAAACGTGTAACGTCAAAGTAATGTGTCAGCTGTCAGTTATTACAATGAAATTATATTTTAAACTCCTGGAGGTAAATAATAAAAAATGCGTGTTCTAATACATTAAGCAATATAGCGGCCGTGCATTAAGGTGCAGCTTAATTGCTATATGTACAATATAGCGACCTATATTGCTGTTATAATAAATATACAAAAGATTGACGTCATAATATATATTATTCAGGGTCGTTTTGGCGCCAAATTCAAAATTAAATTTTAAATGTAATAACTCATATATAGTTTCGTTCTAAAATATTTTTGAAGCGTTGTAAATCAAAATTTAACATTTCCCCTTTTTCTGACGCTCTTTAAAAATAAAGGATATATATACATATAATATAAATATCAATTTTTGTTGCGGATAACACTCAAAAATTTATATTAAGCTATACAAAATATATTTGTCTATCTATCTATCTAGTGTTATGCTAATACCATCCAATCCACACTGAGCCTACATGGAGGGTTATGGCCTGTTCTCCATATCCATTTAGAAGGGAGGCCTGTCTGTCCACTAACACACCAAAAAGGCTGATGATGATACTAAGTTTAAAGCCTGATGTTATTGAATTAAAAATAATGGAAAGGACTAGAAAATTGTTGTAACCTCGAAATAACTATCGTTTTACCGAAGGTCGGAATGAACATGGTTGTAAATATATGTGTATAATGGCACACAGGTGAAGAGTGTGTTGATGCACACGCCGATGAAATTCACGGAGTGGCTCATACAGCAGGGACTCGTCCGCTCCGAGCAGTGGTGCGCCGTACACGCCGGGAACAAACTCAAACTCGGTCAGTATACAACACACACACTCACCATTACACTACTACCCGCCTCACACACACATCCATGACTTCCGCAACAAAGGTTACTTCGAAGTCAGTAGGAAAAGTGAAATATAATATAACCAAAAAGTGTGATATTATTTGAAGCTTGGAGATAGGTTTCAGCTGCCAAAAAATACAAGTGAGTCGAATTTAGGTAAACATGTTTATTTTGGCGTTTTAATGATAATTATCGAGTTGCTCAAATATACAATAAAATTGTTATTAGTTTAAAGTGACATTACCAATACAAATTAAGAACATTCATAATGGATGTTTATGCAACTGGAACAAAGTGAAATGTCAACATTTATTTCGTGACTGCTAAAAAAATTACCCAATAGTACAAAATTCGATCTTTTTTAAAACCTGACGTTTTGAAAAAAGCCATGTAAAACCTAGCAACACTAAATAAGGAATCACCTGACCAGTTTTTTATTGTTCTAGGCATGTACTCGGATGTTTCCAAGTTCCCATACTCTGGTGGCTATGTTTGGATATCAGAATGTTGTCCGACTCGCTTCGTGTCGGTGTTCTCCAGTTCTATCTTTGAAGGTGCCACGTTCCCGCCGAGTGTAATCCTAAAACTGATCTACCACTGGGCTTGTCAGACTAATGTACAGAACGTCGTCCAATGGGTGAAGGTCGACAATCTTTATGTTAAGGTACGTAATGCTTCTGTTACTGATACCATCGTCTAGATATCTAACAGGAGCTTTATTATTATTTTCAGCCAGCACAGCCATTTTTGCCAATGGAATCTTTTCCTTTCAGTTCCAGGTCCAAAAACTTCGATAATCATGGATATTTTAATACTATAATTATAAAGTAATACATACATATGACATGTAAATAAATATTGTACCCAATTCTTTTTCAATTTTTCTCAGAAGAACTTAGATTGTGACATTCAAAATTAGTAAATAAATCATTTTGTTTAGGGCTTGTTCACGTGGCTACGAGCAGTTTGCACTTCCGCTATTCATCAACATATGATGTTACTCGGAGGGCCCGGGAAGAAAGTGGAGGTAGGAGTGATATCCTTGGGAACAACCAGTCATGATGGTACACAGAGGCAGGTCAAGGTGGAGGTGTTGGGAGTACTGGACCCTGTTGAAAAATTGGTGAGTTATTCTTTTGAAGTGTTGTGGAAATTAAATGTTTGTAATCTTGACTCATGACTCTTAAGATTCTTCATAAATAAATTAGTTAAATGAAGCACAAAAGTTGTCTTTGATAATATTATAAGAATTTACGGATTACATAGAATTTTTTTTCTGCCATTGCTTGGTAATAATTCAGATATTTCCTATGAAAATCAAAATACAACTTTTTTGTACAACATTATAATGATTATTTTTTTTTTCCAAAAACATTTTTACATTCGAAGGTTGGCTCTTAATTTTAAGTGCATAACACCTGTACCAGAAAGAGCCGCTCTTCCATAGCTAAAGGTCTTAAAACAATGGTAAAGTTATAAATAATTCAAAATATACAGACAGACTGTTGTGTGTGTGTGTGTTTCCACATCTTCATAATTTATACCTTTCAAGTAAATAGTCACTTTATGTTTGCATGGTTGGTAGGTTAGAGGATATATGTTAAGAATTTTGTTAGTTCGATTGTAAATGAAGAATGAAAGATTAATAAGTTGTTTTCTAGCGAAATTTGTATTTATAATGAAACAATAAACTATATATCTCATGCAGATACGTCTCAGAGCTGTAGAACCACTCGCAGAACATGAGAAGAACTACAAAAAGCGTTTCCAGAAGATTTTGGAGCCTCTGACAGCATGGGTTCACCCTTCAGCTGTCATCTTGACTGATCTGACTGTGGACAAGGGAACACTTGTATCGATGGGATTCAAGCATGTGCATCAGACCTCATCACACTCGGATCAACCGTCGAGGAACAGCAACGCCAACATCATGGAGTATTTGAGACGGATCGTGCCTCGTATGTTCCAGAATACTTTATCCCTGCTCTCCAGGCAGATAATACAGCAGTTCCTTGATGAGCTGGTGTGGAGGGAAAAGTAAGTTCAGTCTATAAAACTGTCAGAAAACTTGGAAAAGAAAGTGTTTTATATTGTCCATAGCATAAATTCGAAACTTATATACAATTACTACACAAATGTGACATTCGACTGCATAAATACGTATGATTGTCGGTTAGATACGGTATATCTCCGGGGCAAGCGTTCGACAGCATCGTGCAACACATCTCGGAACAGACCAAACTGGAAGCCAGGGACTCCATCACCGTGCGACTCAACAAGATCGCCGCTAACCCATTCAAAACATGGAAATATCCTAAGGTAGGAGGGATAGAATACAGCAGCCGGCTCAGTCGATAGATCTGATAGGTCGATAGACCATGCAATAGTGTGTATGTGTAACGCGCACGCGGCATATGTAATTGTGTGTACAGTACAAGGACAAGGACAAGGCGGAGGAGCCGGAGCCGGGCCCGGAGCCGGTGACGCGCGGCAAGCGCGGCCGCAAGAGGAAGGAGCCCTCGCCGCCCCCGCCCCCGCCCCCGCCCACGCGCAAGAAGAAGAAGGAGAAGACCACCTACGTCGACGACGACGACGAGGAAGAGGTCGGTCCACTCACGCTTGTTTTATTATTCTGACCGGCTTTAACTGCGTCTGCATTTTAATATCCTATATTCTAACGTAGCCTATGATGGGCCCTTTTGTAATTTCATTTCCTCGTTTCTCTGGTTATAATATATACAACCAGGCTTTAGACTTTAGAGAAGCTTAGAAAAAATTGTTTGGCTATATTAACCCTTCAGGGAATAAAATTACGATTCAAACTTAAAATTATATGAATATCTTCGTTTCCCCACACAGGTGCCCCTAGCGCTCCGTCGCACTAAGATTAAGCAGGAGAATGAGAAAATCAAAGAAAAGGAAAGAGAGAAGTCCAAGGATAAGGAAACCGAGAGCGGCGGCACCCGGGGTCGGCCCCGGAAGGCACCCCGCACGTATGTCGATGATGACTTGGATGATATCCCGCTGAAGGCCATCAAGAAGGAAGCCAAGCCCGAGGAAACAGTCTCCATGGAGAGATACTACTTCGGACAGATAGGGGGGAACGGTCCCCATGAGAAGGTCGCCATCGCTGTGCTGGTGAGGACGATTTATTTGTTATTCGGCTTTGCTCGATTGGTCAAATTTAGTTATTGATATTTCTACTTTTGTCGCTCCAAGATTTGGGACACCTTTAATTCTGGCGAAACATTCAGTACAATCGTAAACTAAAATGCGGGATTACATTTTTTTTAACTCCCGATATAGATATCAAACGAAGGGGCTTTAATATAGCTACGTTTTAGGTTCATTTTACTGTGCCAAAAATGGCTAGACGCACCTGTGTGAGCGGGTGAGCAACAGCAATATGTTTACGCACGAGTGAAAGAGATACGTAACGCCCTGACTCCTCCGACGTGTCTGAAATAAAACGGCGTATCCTAGGATTTAGAAAGTTTAGTATAGACAGTTCACTCGCGCATGCGATTAGCGTCGCTCGTGTATTCGTAAATGGTCAGCGTTGTATGTGTATTTGATTATTTTATTCGTTCTCGGCCCAGTGTCCGCTGTGCCAGACGGAGTTCCACGACAGCTGGTCGCTGTCGGAGCACATATTCGGGCACGTGGTGGGGGAGGTGGGCGGTGTGGGGGAGGCGGGGGAGGCGGGGGCCGGGCGCCAGTGCCGCTACTGCCTGGCGCGCTTCCCCGCGGAGGCCGCGCTGCAGCAGCACCTGGCCACGGCGCACCCCGGCGACACCAAGTCCCCGGAGATGTTCACGTACGCCTGCCTCATATGCGAGGTGGGTCATGTTTATCTGGTAGACGAGATTCGCATTCAATAGGCTCTGAAATAAATAAATGCAAATCTTAGGGATAGGATTTTTCTCAATTCTTTGGATCGTTTCAAAAAAAATCTTAATATAATACTGAGTGGATATGCAGCTTGTGGCGCTATTACGAAGAAATACGGAAGACATATCTCCTTTTTTTAATAATTATTTTTCAATTTATTTTCATTGTGATCGATCGATATAAATATATCATTAAGAATATTGTGGAATAAAAATAAACTTACAACATTTGGCAACTGAGATTCTAATTCATCGGATACCCAAACAGAAAAGATTTTTTTTAGCAAAAGCATTGCGTTGGGATATAGCAGCGACTAGGCTGCTTATAAAATTGAACAGCTAAGTTCACAGAGAAGATGAATACCAACGACGATAGAGAAGAGGAATAGGAATGATTACGGATACCGAGGGCTTCATAATTCCCCTAAGAACGAGTAACTGTATGGTCTTCCTCGTCTTCGGGGGTCCAGCGCGGCGGCATTCTAGTCTACCGGAGGTTTAGGAGGCCGGAGGTTTACCCCTTGTAAAGGCCAATTCGGGAGTGCGATTAGAAAAACAAATATTTCTATTTCGACGGGTATAACATGGGGGCACAATAACATGGGGGTCGAAGTATAAGCAACTGTCTCTGAGCCATCTCGGGAGAGTGCTCACGTTTACATATCTAGATTGATCTTTCTTCGAGCGACATGTTTATCTAAATCAAGTTTAAGTTGATTTACATAAACGAGTCGAAACGACATCGAACCTCGCTCACACGATGGATCTTCTGTTAGTTTTTCACCGATCATGAATAGTCGTATTTACCTTTATTGTTATTGGGTTAGGTTCGTTTCGCTGCCGTTCTGACGCTGGCGTCGCACATGCAAAAGTGTCACGTGCCGCTGGAGCTGCCGTACGCGTGCGGCGCCTGCGACTACCGCGCCTCCTCCCACCGCGCCGCCGCCGACCACTACCGCGCCACCCACGCGCGCGCCCGCACCGTGCACTGCCCGCACTGCCTCAAGGTGGGTCTACACACATGCACACATGCACACATACACACATACCACTACCGCGCCACCCACGCGCGCGCCCGCACCGTGCACTGCCCGCACTGCCTCAAGGTGGGTCTACACACATGCACACATGCACACATACACACATACCACTACCGCGCCACCCACGCGCGCGCCCGCACCGTGCACTGCCCGCACTGCCTCAAGGTGGGTCTACACACATGCACACATGCACACATACACACATACCACTACCGCGCCACCCACGCGCGCGCCCGCACCGTGCACTGCCCGCACTGCCTCAAGGTGGGTCTACACACATGCACACATGCACACATACACACATACCACTACCGCGCCACCCACGCGCGCGCCCGCACCGTGCACTGCCCGCACTGCCTCAAGGTGGGTCTACACACATGCACACATGCACACATACACACATACCACTACCGCGCCACCCACGCGCGCGCCCGCACCGTGCACTGCCCGCACTGCCTCAAGGTGGGTCTACACACATGCACACATGCACACATACACACATACCACTACCGCGCCACCCACGCGCGCGCCCGCACCGTGCACTGCCCGCACTGCCTCAAGGTGGGTCTACACACATGCACACATGCACACATACACACATACCACTACCGCGCCACCCACGCGCGCGCCCGCACCGTGCACTGCCCGCACTGCCTCAAGGTGGGTCTACACACATGCACACATGCACACATACACACATACCACTACCGCGCCACCCACGCGCGCGCCCGCACCGTGCACTGCCCGCACTGCCTCAAGGTGGGTCTACACACATGCACACATGCACACATACACACATACCACTACCGCGCCACCCACGCGCGCGCCCGCACCGTGCACTGCCCGCACTGCCTCAAGGTGGGTCTACACACATGCACACATGCACACATACACACATACCACTACCGCGCCACCCACGCGCGCGCCCGCACCGTGCACTGCCCGCACTGCCTCAAGGTGGGTCTACACACATGCACACATGCACACATACACACATACCACTACCGCGCCACCCACGCGCGCGCCCGCACCGTGCACTGCCCGCACTGCCTCAAGGTGGGTCTACACACATGCACACATGCACACATACACACATACCACTACCGCGCCACCCACGCGCGCGCCCGCACCGTGCACTGCCCGCACTGCCTCAAGGTGGGTCTACACACATGCACACATGCACACATACACACATACCACTACCGCGCCACCCACGCGCGCGCCCGCACCGTGCACTGCCCGCACTGCCTCAAGGTGGGTCTACACACATGCACACATGCACACATACACACATACCACTACCGCGCCACCCACGCGCGCGCCCGCACCGTGCACTGCCCGCACTGCCTCAAGGTGGGTCTACACACATGCACACATGCACACATACACACATACCACTACCGCGCCACCCACGCGCGCGCCCGCACCGTGCACTGCCCGCACTGCCTCAAGGTGGGTCTACACACATGCACACATGCACACATACACACATACCACTACCGCGCCACCCACGCGCGCGCCCGCACCGTGCACTGCCCGCACTGCCTCAAGGTGGGTCTACACACATGCACACATGGTTTTTCAAATTGTGGTAATTTTATAAAAAAAATTGTGTGCCTAAAATCAATTTGACCAACTTATTCCTTTGTTCATTAGAGAATTCTCATTCTTGAAAAGTGAAAGGTAACTTATGTTAACACGTAGTACAACATACACACCAAACGCGCCCACATACACCTATCGAGCTATGATTTCAATTAACACCACATACAAATTGCCCACCAGGTGATAACCGTGTACGCGGACGGGCACGAGCTGACCTCCAACATTATGATATACATCGATCATCTCAAACAACACCAGACGCAACTGGACATACGCTGCAACAGATGCGCGCTGCGTTTCGTACATCTAGGTGAGAGAGAGATATGCTTACTTTTTTAGATATTTTTTAGTTCTAATCAAAATTTTATAATATTTGTAAACAACTAGGTAAGTAATTAACATTTGTTTATATGGCAAATTATCGCTCAATTTCCGGGCGTTGTTTGTAATTCATTCAAAAAAATGAAACGACCAAATTTCGTACATTGAACTCATGTCTGCAGGATAATCTTAAACATTTTAGGTTCACTTTACTATGACAAAATTTGCTAGATTCAAAGTTCTTAAAGTAAAACCATGGCCTTGAAAATATTAAGCACTTTATTTTAATATTCTAACTTTTCCTTCATACTTTAATCGGGCTTAGGACAGGCAAAATTACTTTTTGGACTAATAATTAGCAATAAAAAATAAAAGACTGACAGCCAGTTGTATGTAGTTCATTTATGTACACTCGGCGCTTAATCAGACTCCACAAGCACCGTCTTGTTGAAACCAGAGGTTTCGTAAGCTGACCAATGGAATGTCATCCAACGTAGTGGAGATCACCTGAAGCAAATTTAAATAATTTTCCCCAGTAAGGAGTCCTTCAAAAAACTAAGACCCTACAATGTTGTCGTTCAGGATTCCTGCCCAGACACTCAAACTAAATCTATTTTGGAATGAAATGTTAACATCGGATTGCGTATGGACCTCCAGTTTTCATTGTGTTGATTAAATAATACGTTCGTGTCGGTATTAGTCAATATCCAATTGCATAACACAATCTTCGGCTCATAGTCCACAGTATGCTCTTGCACCTTTCCATGGTATTGGGGTTACAATCCAGCTGCATTAACTACTTTTCATGCACAGTACTGGTTGATGTTAAAATGACGAGCTGCGTCATTTGTACTTCGCCACGGATCTTGTTTAAAGTATTCCTTGGCTAACAGACGGCGCATGGAACAAACTGTGGACCAGTAATCGCTGATAAGCATTTATCACTGTTCGATAGTTTGGTTGTTGAGCGTCTGGATATAGTTCCCTGTACATACGTACAGCGGCACTCGTATTCTCAACGTATAAAATATACACAAGTAGTATTGCCACATACTCCCGAGATGAAAACTGATAAGCCATCGTGTCGGTAACAGTAAACAAATGGCAGTCGAAAAAAGCATACACACCCTTCCGATACGTTGCGGGGGTGCAGTCTAGCTTTGACGCGAGTTTGCCGGGATTTATCAATGAGCTAATGGCCAGCATTCCTTCAATACACCTAGTCCTTGCCTATTGCCAGTATTGCGCTCGTGAATGGCAATAGCATAGTTGTAATAATTTTTGATGCAATTGGGGTTTGAGCAGTTATGACACTTTTTCGTGGATAATTTTGTAAATTGTTTTCACTTTTGACTATGTCAATAGGATCAGTGATAGGTACTGAGTGCCCCATTTTTATTAGTAGTAATTTAAAAGTAGTATTGTATAATAATTATGTAATGTTATTATTATCGTAGGTCAAATGAAGGAACATCAAGTACGCGACCACAATACAATCGAGAACGCAACTCCTCTTTGTTCAGAAGAACATTTGATTAATCAACCGAAGGTGAGATTTGCACTATATACGTTATTTTTCAATCAGTAATCACCCTGTTGACATCAAACCAAGGCTAATAGATGCTAAGTGTAGGTCGCTCCTTTGCGATTCTCTTTGAAATTGTATATCGAAATATGAATCGGGATAAAAAGCTGCAATCAAACCTGCCCATACGTCTACGCTTGAAGAAATTTTCATTAAACCATGTCTGAGCGATTATTAATCGCTGTCAATTGAATTTTTCACCTATCTTTTGGTTTGATATTTTTGTTTAATGTTAGTATAAAATGTATGAATATGTTGTAATTTATATATTTAATTAATATACCTAATTAGAACAAGCCGCGCCCGCCAGTGAAGGACACGGCGAGCCATAACATAATTGAGTCGTACGAGGACGTGACGCTGATGCTGCCGGACGGATTTCTCTGTCGCGAGTGTGATACGCCATTGGAGAGCGATAAACACTTCCTGTAAGTATAACTACTCGTAGTATAGTAAAGGATATTTTGGTTTCGGAATCTCAAACACTACATTTCCGGGGATTCCAAATATTGATAGATCGGAATATATAACAATACATTAGAGTTTCAAATATCGACATTCAATTCGTCTATTATATCTTAGAACCTTCTTAATTAATCTTGAAAAATTAAGGAAATTTCTGGGAATCTCTGCAATACATGAAGTGCCTTTATTATATTGGTAATGATAAGTTTAGGTAGATATCGTTGCTGCAGTTAAATGCTGACAAATTTCTTGTCAGTATCTACATTATATGAATTTGCTTAGAAACTTTATTTTTTGTTCAATCCTTTATATGTTTGCTATAATAATAAAATGAAAACAAAGTGAAAAAAATATACATAGATAGAAACGGGTACTGCGCGGGGCCGACTGCCTCGAGTGTATAGATAGCCTCGTGTGTGCGCTGTATGAGTATAGAGATATGGCCGTGTGTATGTGTAGCGGCGCTGCCCGATGCAGCAAGTGCCCGTTCGTGAGCGGTTGCTACCGCGCGCTGCTGCACCACAGCGGGTACTGCGCGGGGCCGACTGCCTCGAGTGTATAGATAGCCTCGTGTGTGCGCTGTATGAGTATAGAGATATGGCCGTGTGTATGTGTAGCGGCGCTGCCCGATGCAGCAAGTGCCCGTTCGTGAGCGGTTGCTACCGCGCGCTGCTGCACCACAGCGGGTACTGCGCGGGGCCGACTGCCTCGAGTGTATAGATAGCCTCGTGTGTGCGCTGTATGAGTATAGAGATATGGCCGTGTGTATGTGTAGCGGCGCTGCCCGATGCAGCAAGTGCCCGTTCGTGAGCGGTTGCTACCGCGCGCTGCTGCACCACAGCGGGTACTGCGCGGGGCCGACTGCCTCGAGTGTATAGATAGCCTCGTGTGTGCGCTGTATGAGTATAGAGATATGGCCGTGTGTATGTGTAGCGGCGCTGCCCGATGCAGCAAGTGCCCGTTCGTGAGCGGTTGCTACCGCGCGCTGCTGCACCACAGCGGGTACTGCGCGGGGCCGACTGCCTCGAGTGTATAGATAGCCTCGTGTGTGCGCTGTATGAGTATAGAGATATGGCCGTGTGTATGTGTAGCGGCGCTGCCCGATGCAGCAAGTGCCCGTTCGTGAGCGGTTGCTACCGCGCGCTGCTGCACCACAGCGGGTACTGCGCGGGGCCGACTGCCTCGAGTGTATAGATAGCCTCGTGTGTGCGCTGTATGAGTATAGAGATATGGCCGTGTGTATGTGTAGCGGCGCTGCCCGATGCAGCAAGTGCCCGTTCGTGAGCGGTTGCTACCGCGCGCTGCTGCACCACAGCGGGTACTGCGCGGGGCCGCACTGCCTCGAGTGTATAGATAGCCTCGTGTGTGCGCTGTATGAGTATAGAGATATGGCCGTGTGTATGTGTAGCGGCGCTGCCCGATGCAGCAAGTGCCCGTTCGTGAGCGGTTGCTACCGCGCGCTGCTGCACCACAGCGGGTACTGCGCGGGGCCGCACTGCCTCGAGTGTATAGATAGCCTCGTGTGTGCGCTGTATGAGTATAGAGATATGGCCGTGTGTATGTGTAGCGGCGCTGCCCGATGCAGCAAGTGCCCGTTCGTGAGCGGTTGCTACCGCGCGCTGCTGCACCACAGCGGGTACTGCGCGGGGCCGCACTGCCTCGAGTGTATAGATAGCCTCGTGTGTGCGCTGTATGAGTATAGAGATATGGCCGTGTGTATGTGTAGCGGCGCTGCCCGATGCAGCAAGTGCCCGTTCGTGAGCGGTTGCTACCGCGCGCTGCTGCACCACAGCGGGTACTGCGCGGGGCCGCACTGCCTCGAGTGTATAGATAGCCTCGTGTGTGCGCTGTATGAGTATAGAGATATGGCCGTGTGTATGTGTAGCGGCGCTGCCCGATGCAGCAAGTGCCCGTTCGTGAGCGGTTGCTACCGCGCGCTGCTGCACCACAGCGGGTACTGCGCGGGGCCGCACTGCCTCGAGTGTATAGATAGCCTCGTGTGTGCGCTGTATGAGTATAGAGATATGGCCGTGTGTATGTGTAGCGGCGCTGCCCGATGCAGCAAGTGCCCGTTCGTGAGCGGTTGCTACCGCGCGCTGCTGCACCACAGCGGGTACTGCGCGGGGCCGCACTGCCTCGAGTGTATAGATAGCCTCGTGTGTGCGCTGTATGAGTATAGAGATATGGCCGTGTGTATGTGTAGCGGCGCTGCCCGATGCAGCAAGTGCCCGTTCGTGAGCGGTTGCTACCGCGCGCTGCTGCACCACAGCGGGTACTGCGCGGGGCCGACTGCCTCGAGTGTATAGATAGCCTCGTGTGTGCGCTGTATGAGTATAGAGATATGGCCGTGTGTATGTGTAGCGGCGCTGCCCGATGCAGCAAGTGCCCGTTCGTGAGCGGTTGCTACCGCGCGCTGCTGCACCACAGCGGGTACTGCGCGGGGCCGCACTGCCTCGAGTGTATAGATAGCCTCGTGTGTGCGCTGTATGAGTATAGAGATATGGCCGTGTGTATGTGTAGCGGCGCTGCCCGATGCAGCAAGTGCCCGTTCGTGAGCGGTTGCTACCGCGCGCTGCTGCACCACAGCGGGTACTGCGCGGGGCCGCACTGCCTCGAGTGTATAGATAGCCTCGTGTGTGCGCTGTATGAGTATAGAGATATGGCCGTGTGTATGTGTAGCGGCGCTGCCCGATGCAGCAAGTGCCCGTTCGTGAGCGGTTGCTACCGCGCGCTGCTGCACCACAGCGGGTACTGCGCGGGGCCGACTGCCTCGAGTGTATAGATAGCCTCGTGTGTGCGCTGTATGAGTATAGAGATATGGCCGTGTGTATGTGTAGCGGCGCTGCCCGATGCAGCAAGTGCCCGTTCGTGAGCGGTTGCTACCGCGCGCTGCTGCACCACAGCGGGTACTGCGCGGGGCCGACTGCCTCGAGTGTATAGATAGCCTCGTGTGTGCGCTGTATGAGTATAGAGATATGGCCGTGTGTATGTGTAGCGGCGCTGCCCGATGCAGCAAGTGCCCGTTCGTGAGCGGTTGCTACCGCGCGCTGCTGCACCACAGCGGGTACTGCGCGGGGCCGACTGCCTCGAGTGTATAGATAGCCTCGTGTGTGCGCTGTATGAGTATAGAGATATGGCCGTGTGTATGTGTAGCGGCGCTGCCCGATGCAGCAAGTGCCCGTTCGTGAGCGGTTGCTACCGCGCGCTGCTGCACCACAGCGGGTACTGCGCGGGGCCGCACTGCCTCGAGGACGCGCCGCGCCCCGCGCCCTACCGCACGCGCTGCGTCTGCGGATACAACACCACCATAGGTACTTACAACACTCATTTATGCTAGCGTGGTTAATAGATGTCTGGGCAAGGACGCTTGCCAGCTGAGCCGAATTAAGACTACTTGATGCCCAAAGCGATCCTCATTGTCTGTGCCCCCCCCCCCCCCATCCCCAGATAATCCCAAATCCCAAAATGTCTAATCTGTTATCTGAATCATTACGAAAATTACTGTATTCCGTCAATTTCGCATTCACAATGCTCTTACTGGAAAATATTCTAAAATATAAAGTGGATTTTTAAGCATTTTTCAATATGATTGTACGCAAGAGAAATGATAAGATAAGAAAGAAAAGAAAGTCAGTTGAACACTTAGTTTATTACTATTGAAATTACAACTCATATTGATTATAATTACTAACTAAATTATTATAATAAATGATGAATGAGTACACGGAATGATTTCTTAATGTGCACCACTTATTTATTATTAACATGCTAAATTGACAGTCATTGTACCGTATAACTGACAACGTTGCCATTATTGTACATTTGTTATTTTGACTATTTAAATAAATGTAATTATTTAATGATAAAAAAATTTAAGAGAAACAGAGAAATTTTTACTTCTACCTTGCTACATATTATTTATCTGTATATTCAACGAACCCACCATTGTAACAGATTGGATATTTCAGGAACTGAACAGTCTGAACTGATCATTGCATACCTAAGGATATGTATTAAGAGTTACATAGAGTACAAAATTCACGGATTTTCTAAAATCTTTACTCTTGTGCTAGCAATTTTGGTGCTGTTTCTGGTGCTCCTTGAAGTGATGTCCTAATCATTATGGAATTGGACAACAATAAATGAGATAAAATAAAAATTCTTCTAAAAAATTCGTATAATAAAAGAATTATTGGTTTGAATATGAATTTGTGCAATCGCTCATTTGTCTTATGGGCTAATCCGGCACTGCTTGCAAGATATATTGTTAAATGTGCGACACATTTTGCAGTCTGATTATAAATAATTATATTTTATGATTTTTTTTTAATTTTGTTTGTAAACTTATTCTTCTATCTATTTTGTGTACTGATTGAATACTTGCTTTGTATAATATTGTAAAATATAGTGCTTTGAAAATAGAAATCAAAGCAAATTGTGCCTTTATACTATACGGTAAAATAGGAATTCAGTAACAATGATGTTCCCTAGATTTGTTAAGTAATTAATCTTTATATATTCAGGCACTGATATGTTGACACATCTGCTGATATGCGAGCACAAGTCTGCATACGCGTCCGAGGAGGATGCGCGCGCCAACACTGTGGGCGCTGACGAACAAATCACCAAGACTACTGACGATTCGCAACCGGACGCGGTGAGCACTTTAACTGCAATACTGTACACTTGTTTGTTAGCCTTACTTAATTAAATTAAAATGTTTATTCATTAATTTTTTTAACAATAATTATATGTCCAAATGCACAAAGATTTGTAAGCATTGAATGTAGTAAATCAGTTTGTCGATGACTATACTTATTATGTTAACTAAACTATAATCTATTTTTATTGAAATCTGTAAAAAAAACTTTGTCATTAAAGGGGAATGCTAAACTTATTAATTTGATATTACTCAGCTACATACACAGTGTTTGAATTTTCTAACTGTAAATAGGTGGCAGAAAGCGTTCCAGCAATATCAGACTATGCTCCACCATCGGTGCTCAATACACAGCTTTCACTAGATGATCTGGCGCCACCATCTGTTCTGCAGTCTGATCAGGTGCACTATTGATTATTACCTAATCCACCATTTTCATATTTTCCTTCATTAAATTTTCATAATGGTTCTGTGTAAAATTAACTTTTCTATAATGATCTTAAAATTTTCAATGTACAACTATGAGTAACACTTTAGCCACTACTTAATTGTGATTTCAGTGATAAATGTGATGTCCATACTTATTTATCACATTACTCAAATGCATCTACCATTTTTTTATAATACACTTACCAATAATGTAAAAGAACTTACCTGCCATATATATACCAATAGAATACTATGAACTAAGACATAAATATTTATAATTTAATTTATAGAATGATCAAGAGTTGCTGAAAGATGCCTATGACCGTCCATTAGCAACACCACGCCATGAAGAACCTCAATACACTCTTGGTGACTTTGAGCCATTGCCCCAGGAGCCTCCACCACAACCAGACTTTGAACAGCTGTAATATTTCATACTTTCATGTATTGTTCAGCAATATGAAAAAGAAAATGTAATAAAATTCGAATATTGCAATATAAACTTTTATTCTGAAAATTAATACTTTTTATGCAATGGGATGTCTATAAGGAAATAAAGTTAAGTAATAAAGGTTTATCTTTTCTTTTTTCTCTTTTTCTTGAAATGCAAAGTCACTTTGTTAACAACCCCATAGTGCTCAATGGGGCTACAGTCATTATCTAATATCAAACCATCATAGCTCAAATCATATGTTTTCCAAATATATCTCCAAGATATTTTAACTTTATTCCCAATCCTTTTCTGATATATTTCAAAGTGTCTTGCTACTGCCTTTTTCAGATCTATAACTTTTGCACTCTGTGGGACCTATAAAAATGTAATCAAATTAGATATTAACTAATAGCCTGAGTCAAATGGGTGACAAATATACTATGTTCCAATATGTTACTTACAATCACTTTCAAGGCAGGTTCATGATCTCTGGATATAATGACTGTTATGGATTGCCCATATTCGACAGCAATCTGTAACGACATTTCAATTGGTAACAAGGATTTTTTTCAATAAATTCCGTAGTAATAATAAAGAAATCAATAATAAACTTTACTTATCTAACCTGAGAATTAATTTCTTCCAAAATAATATCACCAGGAAGGTCCGATAGTAAAGTATCTGAATTAATCAAATCATTGATAGCAGAGTGGCTGATCTGAATTAGATCGTCGTGAGATAAAGTATCGGCAATTTGATTCATTACTAAAATTAGAATCTCATTTTCATCGATGATATAAAGAAAACAAACTTTTTTAACTTTTATACAGCAATGTACGTTTACGTAGATAAAACACACTAACGCACTGGCACAGAACAAAAGTACTCTACGCGCAATGGTTTTCAGTACCTATTTCCCATTGCTAACGATTCAAAAACAAGAATGATTACAACTTTGTTGTCAGTAGGCATGTGGATTCACTTGAGAAAAATCTATACTGGAATGGATCGAATTAAACATATTAGAATCGATTCTCGATTAAATTGAGCATTAAAAAGATTGATTTTCGATTTAATTTTTCGAAAAGCGTTATTGATGATAATTTACCGTTAATACAAGTAATGAAGGAATTGTAGGAGACCAATCAGGCAGTCTGTCTGAAGTCTAATCTACATAAGTTAGTCATAAAAAATAAATTAATGCAGTTGTAAATTTATAAAATTTTATTAAAGTTAAATAAAAATTCAATGTCGAGTGTCGAGTGACTAAAAAAGTTAATTGGTCTTAGCACTCGGGATCTAAACGACTCCTTAGTCACTAGCAATATTTCCTTGCAACAGAAAAAGCCTTTCACAAGAAACAGATGTTCCAACTATGCAAAAGTATTTGTTGGCAATCAGCGTTATCGAGGTATACAAGGAATTTCTTTAGTGATACCAATTTGTGATAGGGTCTGCCGACGTTTTGAAATCGACGATATACTGTGTTAAATAATGTTTTCGCACCAAAAAGTTAAATCATGAAACAAAACTATGAAAAAGTTCAAAATGGCCTTACGTAAAATCCTTTACACATCCAAGGTGTGCCGCAAAAATCTAAAAACATAGAGACATGACAAGAATATCGTACTAACCATCAAAATACATTTCTCTTGTAACTTTAGGTATGTCTGCAACTTTATGGTATGTTTTATTGTTTCTTACTAACGATGGGGCGATGTATTATTCTATGAGCTTAATAAATATTTATTTATGCAAAATATTAAAAATCTAAAAATATTGTAATCAATTTAGGAATTTTATATTGCTAGTTCTTGAACTGAATTGAATATGTTCGATTCGATAAGTTTATGCATCGATTCAATAATTGATGCAGCATTCCAAATCGATCTTAAACATCGATTATTTTGCTTTAATTAATTGATTAATCGATTTCAGACCGACATGCCTAGTTGTCAGTTGAGTCCACAGACCAAGAAGTAAATACTACGGTTGAGTATCTTACTTTTTGATTCTAAGTGCTCTGCTCTGTGAAATCTTACGAATATTTTGAGGTTATTTCAGGTTATTTACTCAGATATATTCATATAATTATCAATCAATTAAACAAATAGTCAAAATAAAAATGGATAGTCTATCTACCGGCTCTTTAAGTGGGGTGCAAAAAGAGGAATTGATGGATCAAGTAAAACAGCAGATAGCAATAGCAAATGCCCAAGAACTTCTCACTAAAATGTCAGAGAAATGTTTCAAAAAGTGCATCAATAAACCAGGAACCTCTTTAGATAACTCTGAACAAAAATGTATCGCAATGTGCATGGACAGATATATGGATGCCTGGAACCTCGTATCACGAACGTATAGCAGTCGTATTCAGCGTGAAAGGAACAACATGTGAGAATCTGCCCCTAGTTCAAAGTGCTATCGTGATATTGTAAATATAAACTAGTAGATGCAGAGTATGATTTAAATTGTGGGTTGCGGCTAGCAGATGTTATGTTAACGTGTTCAATAAAAACATTCTAGGCTGTTAACAATGGTTATGTTATTCGCTCACCTTCATTTACATATTATCAGTGAATTATTCAATAGATTATGAAAGTATAGTTTTATAATATATCCAATTATATTTATTATATTTTGAAAAATACAGTAACTTCATACATATATTCCCCATACAAGAAAAACTAAAATCTTTCTATTAGTTATAGAGTTTTATAGACTTTCTATTATTATAATATAGTTTATAATAACAATTGCTTTTGTGTCAATCACAATTTTCCTTTAATAAGGATAATGTTTAGTGTTGAGAAGTTAACTATAGCTTGACAGAAAAGTATGAATTTTTTTAATGGAATATTCCAATTTTTTTTAAACTGTTTTTTTTTCTTATCAAAATATATGTAAAGAAACATTTTTTTTTCTTGATTTATACCTACGTAACCATGATATAAAAATACAAATTTTAGTAATTCAAACTCTTTATTTTCATAATTCACCCTTAAGCATTTTCTTTCTATATTGATACACTTTCTTGATCCACATCTCTATTAATTCTTCCTCACTGGGTATTGCCTGTGAAAACACATAAACATTGTTTATTATATCCATGTAACCATAATGTTTCTACTGCCTGAAAGTATTTTAATACTTATATCTAGTATTTTCAAAGAAAACATGTTATCTAGATAATAGTGTTCAATAAGTAACTACATATATATATTCATTATTTATCTACATACATATAGAATTATACTTACATCAAAATTTATAACAGAATCATGTTTCTGTACTTTTATATCAGTTTCTGGAACTGTTACAGTCTGAGCATTTAAGTCAATCACTATATTTTGTGACTGTTTTTTATTTCTTGAAGATGTGAATGTTTTTTGCACAAAGGAATCACTGTTCAGTTCAGCCAGTAAGTTCCGGTCATGAATAGTAGGCATGTCTTCTTTCACTTCCACTTCCTTGTATTCATAAGTGGGAATCTTTGTCATAGTCAGTCCGGCAGCCTCAGCTGCTTTGATAGCCTTTTCCAATTTCGTTTCAGTATCATCTAAATTAACTGGTTTGGAAGGAAGGGGCCTTTCTGTAATTCAATGTATTTAAATTAAAATAGATTATGCAAAGTATTAAAATTATATTAGGCACAAAAAATTATAGGTTACCAATATCAAAAGAACTTGAACGACTACTCGAAGTGTGAGATTTCTTTGCAGATTTCTTGCCCTTATGTTTTGTTCTACTTCTTGAACGAGACCTTGAACGGGATTGATCTCGGGATACAGATTTCTTCGAACGTTTACCACGCGAACGTGACCTTCTTCTCGCCTTTGATTCATATCGATCTCGTGAGACGCTACGCGAGTAACCTCTTTTATGCCTCGAGTGAGAAATAGAACGCTTTCTTCTGTGACTACTTGATTCTGATCGTTCTCTTGAACGAGAACGGCGTTTGTGTTTACTTTTAGATTTTTTCCTTTCATATGAGGAGTCTGAACTAAGTGAAGAACTCTTCCTATCTCGATATCGACTCTTTTCGCGCGGCATTACAGAAGTTTATATTGATTATTATATATTCTTATTGGTTTTATTAGAAAAATAATACTCGATTCTTCATTCACTCATTTTCGTCCATGGGACAGGCGAAGGAACTAAGCCATACAGCCTACTACTTCACCTACTTCAATAATATATAAATTCTTAGTCTCAGAGAGCAAATGAGGAAGTATTAAAAAAAAGAAAGCACTAAAACAGCACCTTACCAGATGGCGACTCTAGCAAAAGTTGATTTTTGCAGGAAACGAATGGACCAAAGATAGTCATCTCCGTTCTTTTTAACTAACATATTAAAAAACTGAAATTTGAAAAGTTCGAAACTTAGATATCAAGTATAAGTATTAAACTAAAGAATAAAGTATTAAAATCACTTAATTCATACATAATTTACAAAAATTCTTAGTCTCAAGAGAGCAAATGAGGAAGTATCAAAAAAAGAAAGCACTAAAACAGCACCTCACTAGATGGCGACTCTAGCAAAAGTTTTTGCAGGAAACGAATGGACCAAAGATAGTCATTTCTGTTACTTTTAACTAACATTAAAAACTGAAATTTGAAAAGTTCGAAACTTAGATATCAATACAAAAACGAAAAAATACAAATAGAATATGAGTTGTTTATTGAGTTTTGAAAACTTGTTAACTTTTAAACTTAAAAGAAAACCGAAAAAGTTGTCATGCAGAAATCAAGAACGTACCGTAGCAGCATCTAGTTTGATTTTGGGAATGTCATTTAATATGATTTATCTATCTCCTTTATTTATATTTAAAAAACTCGCAATTTTGTGTCAACTAGATATATAAAAGTAAAAAACAGTACCAAATTATTAACTTTTATATATCCACCAAACTTTGACGCTTAGAACCAAATTGTAATACTAAATAGTACTAAATTATCAAGTACTTTTTTTTTCAAGAAGTACATCAAACAGCAAATTTTAAAACAATGGAAATTGATAGTGGTCAAAGGTTATGCTGAAGATAACAAACAAAATACTTACGGAAGTATTTTAATTTTAATATCTAACTTCTCTAAATTTATTTTTATTTCATTGAACCCCGAATATCAGTTTTGATAAAGTGTTACATTTATAGAAATAAAATTACTGTCTTTTAGGTCATTATCCATTAGGTCATTTCATTGTTCCTTAGGGTTAAGAATGGACTGAAATATTTCAAACATTGTACTACCATTTAGTAACATTCTTTAAGCTCTTTATTTTTTCAATGTTACCTTATTATTAAAATACTTTATTTCAGTTTGATGAAATAGTTCCTGGTGTTTCCAGGCCCTATGATGATAGTCCTGTTATTTATTAATATTATTTTAAACAAAGTCTCCAAACTATACTCTTCGAACAATGAAAAGAAAGTTTAAAAGGAGTAAGTATATAACGATGAGGAAGTGTAAAAAAAAGAAAGCACTAAAAAAGCATGCCCGATTTTGATGTGAATTTATCTTTTGGATCGTACCTCGTAAATCAATCAATCCAAAGTCTGATTCGTATTACATGCTTTGAATCGAACTCATTCTTATGAGGAAGTATTTAAAGAAAAAAAGGAAGCACTAAAAAACACTTCACTAGATGTCGACTCTAGCAAAAGTTAGATTTTTGCAGGAAACGAATGGACCAAAGATAGTCGTTTCCGTTCCTTTTAATAACATATTAAAAAACTGAAATTTTCAAAGTTCGAAACTTAGATATCAATACAAATACGAAAAAGTAAAATTTTTCTTTAAAATAAATAAATGAAATTGCATGCATTTTTATTACTTTAAAAAAATATGATAATGAGGAAGTATTTAAAAAAACATTAGTTCCGGAAATCAAACTAGATGTCGCCACGGTACTTTCTTGGTTTCTCCATGACAACCCTTCCGGTTTTCTTTCATGTATAAAAGTAAATTAATTTTCAAAACTCAATTAACAACTCATATTCTATTTGTAGTTTTTATAGATTAAACTTTTGTTAGTTAAAAGGAACGGCAGTGACTATTTTTGGTTAATTCGTTTCCTGCAAAAATCAGCTGTTGCTAGAGTCGCAATCTAGTGAAGTGCTTTTTAGTGCTTTTTTATTTTCTTTAAATACTTCCTCATTAGAATGAGTTCGATTCAAAGTATGTAATACGAATCAGACTTTGGATTGATTGATTTACGAGGTACGATCCAAAAGATAAATTCACATCAAAATCGGGCATCCCTCAGATAAGTCTAATATCATAGTCATCCTGTCTTCGGTCCCTATTGTCTATGTTTGATCCTGAATCCTGTTGTCATTAGGTATATGATGAGTTAAGAATTTTTTTTAATAATGACTAAGAAGTTTAGCCTATACAGATTACACTGAAGAAGATAAATAAATAACATTGTAAACGAGTTATGCTGCTCAGTAGTTATTGGAACGAATCATCTATAAGGAATTTCGTAATTTCAATAAAAGAGGTGGCATTAGTAGCATCTTATATTTATTTGTCGTCTGGTTTTACTTAATTTTATATAAACCCAAATCATAATAATATTATACTCATGTAAAGATTTTAAAAATTTGTATCTAATAAAAATATTATACTTTATTTACTACTTAGTGAACAGTTTTTTTATTCAATATTACATTATTATGACAGATCAATGTTATGCGTTAACAGAAACATTCTATAGGGCAGCGACCAGCAAGAGGACCGTCAGTCGGCCTCGATGACGGAATGTGTGAAAATTTTAAAGATGGTGATGAACTGTGTTTTTCAAATATTGGTTGTTGAAACTATTATTACTAGTTTTCCGTAACCTCATCGAAAGATCCATAATGTGCATATTTATATGATCACATTTTTTTTTACTGTATTTCCGTCAGTTTGAAGAACAGTGTCAAACGTGTAGTGTAACTGACATTATTTTATTGGAAATTATAGTTGTCTATTGCGAGTGTTATGTTTGAGCTTGTATTGTACCATTTTACAATATCTCAGCATACACTTTTCTGATGATTTCGAAGCTATGGAAAGGCAGGATAGAGCACACGCCAACATGGAGGCTGCAGACTATGCGGAGACTAAACAGGTGAGCGCCACACATAATTGCCGGTTGGTCAATACCAGGCCAGGACAGTAATGTATAGTGGTGAAATTGACCTTTTAAAAGTTTGGATTGCCTTGATATCCTTTTGTGGTAAACATTATTTTATTCTGATTCATAATTGCCATTATAGGTTGCTTGTTATTGTAAATCTGTTTATAAGTATTGGTAAATTCAAATAGGATATTCCAAATAGTGGCTTAGTTTAAACAGATCCAATGTAATGTAACATTAAATGGTATTAAATAAACCAAGGTAGCCTGTGGGCGACGTTGGCCTCTGCCCACACTTTTGATGAATAAATTATTGGTATTAGAACATTGTTACATGCCATAATTGTTTTATCAGATGTGATTATGATTGGCTCTTTTGTCTCATGCTGCAATTTGGAACTGAAACAAATTAATTTTTCTTTCACATTCTTAGTTGTTATTTTATTATTATTCAAGGAGTATATTTTCAATTATTTTTAAAGTGATATTTTACAATATGAATAAAGAGAAAATTGTCATTGGATGGTTCAGTGAAGTGGTCTCGTAGATTTAAATGTCATCACCATCCATAGGCCAACATCTTGACATGCCTTCATCCTGTTGCTCTTAAGACAAATAAAACAGTCTAGAATACAAGATCAACAATTGACAACATTGTCAAATATTTTAATTATTTCTATCAGTAAAGAGTCAAAGTAAACAAACATCATTCCTCATCAACGGTATCAAATGTAAAGAAAATTGTATGGACAGTTTTATTAAAACATGTGTCATGGCACATCAGTAATGCTGAATTATTAGATGTTATCTGTCATTAATTCAAAAGGTGAAGTGAAAATTCATTTTATTTGCTACTTTGGTTCTGAATGATTTGCTCTTAGCGTTAGACATCAATTAGGATGCTTGAACATTTTACATTTTTATAAATTTATTCCCATGCCAATAAACATATTAGTAAGTATCACACTATATATATTAGCTAGGTTAGGTAGCTCCAGTTTTATATAAAAAATATAGTATATTTTTTAAATAAAGTCATTAAGTGGATTATAGGACATATTACTGCAACTTTCTGTCATCAGACTGAAGCACTAGCACAAGTAGTAAATAGGTTTTTTTAAATATTTTACACAGAGTAGTTAGGAAAAAGTAAAGTAATAGTAAGAGAAGTATGAGTTTATCATTTTTCAATTTTATGATTAGAAGAGTGTAATCTTATCCAATGATACATCATTGTTGTATGTATAGATGTAAGAAGGAAGAGAATAATTTATTTCTAAAAGAAAAAATCTATGCTGATCTTTGCCGAATAAAAACCAATTCTGAACAGACTAATATTACCAGTTTCTTATATTTTCACTCACACTATTCATTATATGTAACTACTCTACTATTACTTGTCTGTTTAGAATTAGATATCTATATTTTTAATCGTCAGCTTGAGTAAAAAGACATTAGTTTGTTTTGTTTACAAGTTCTCACTGGTTGATACTGGGCCCGTAGCATGGATTATGGCACATTCTATCTGCATGACTCTATCGATATGAAGAATGTCTGTCTTAACATGTGGGACAATAATATGCTAATGATGGCATGTGGCTGGAACTCAATCCAATTGGTGCTTAAAAATATTGCAAAAATTATTATTTACAATATTTGCCTTACCAATTGTCTGTATTCATTAGCACTACATTGCATTTTCATTGTCTGTAGATATATTTTTGTTCTAATTCTTTTTTTTCATCAAATTTATTAATTTAATTGAAGTCAATAATTATTTTTATCAATATTGGAATTTTTATAAAATTAAAACTGAGTAATTAAATGAAATTGGTAGATCTATTAATAATCTATAAAGGTTAAAAGACTATATTATAAGAAAATATTTAATTAAACATGCTAGATTTTAGAGATATTTTATTATATATTGGTTATTATAGTAATTTGTATGAAAAAAAATCACGATCAAGAGGTTAGGGAGGTATTGTTCATCAACAATGTGTGCTTTAGAAACCATACCTATATAAAATATATAAATTCA